CAAAACTCGATTTTACCAAAAAATTTTAATTTCCAAGTTTTTGTAAATACATAATCAAGAATTCATCTAAGAAACTTGATCAAAGTTGACATCAATTGAACTTTTGATGTGCTACACGTTGATGAATTTTTGTTAGAATTTGATGTATGTAGCTCAAAATAATTGAAAAACACGAACTTTTCAAGTTTCAAAGATGTTGCAACAAATTTTTTGAGAGATGTTGTATTCTTGGCGCTTTTTTCTTCTTAGATTCATTCTGGAGAAATATATCTCATAAAAAATTTGTAATTCAAACATGACTCTTTCGAAAAAGAACTTAATTGGCTTAGAAGTTAGCAATATGGTCTAACAGAGTGAGACATTTTTCCAAAGACTTTTGCACAGCTCATTATCTTCACCATTACTCATGAATAGCCTTCACTGAAAAATATTTGATATTTTATCCATGTTTATCATTAATTATAGCAAAAAATCTTTCGCGACACTTGTTTTACTCTTCAAAGTATATTTCACTATAAAAATAAAAATTTTACGGAATGCACGAGTCTGTGCTAACGAAGTTATATTTTTTATATTAAGCTCAAGGTCTTTCCTTCTTTTGGATAAACTAGTTCCAATACAACATCTTCAATATAAACAGATGTTCGAGATTTGTTTTTTTAGTGTGTGCTTCATGAAATTCTTTATTTATATTGTTTCTCGACTCATTAGACTTTATTTATTTTCTCGTTATATTTATTCAGTTGGTCTCCTCTGTGATAAATAGCATGTCTTGAGCTATAGATTTTCCCTATCAATATGTATTGTGATCTTTGTTTTTGCAAAAATCCAACTTCATTAGAAGTTGACCACTATACATCGTATAGACTCCCTAATATCGAAAAAATCGTTATCCTTGTTGTGATTAATCGCATAATGACGAGCATTTTGGAACATGAATCATGTATGTGGTTATAGTAGCTTTGTTTAAATGAACGATAAAAAGGTATCTAATCGTAAAAAAAGCATCCGACAGAATAGACGATGAAACGAACACAGAAGAAGAATACACTTATTGTAAGTTTCGTGGTTGTTATATAAATTTATATATATATTTATATATGAACGTATAAACGGGAATGCGAGTCCTGCTTTATTTGAGATAATAGAAAGAAGAAACAGCTAATGAAAGACAACAGAAAAGAATGACTATGCACACCTCTTATGTGAATGATTACGCATAAGTATATATACGTATAGAAAAGGAAGAATCCCATAACACTATGTATATAAACATATAGAAGAAAAGAAGAGAACTAAAATATTTAATAGGGAAAAGTCCTTTGTGAAGTATATAGTCTTAAGAGGTAAATGCCAAGATAAAAGACGTCATATATATTGGAATTAACCAACACTTATAAATATATTGCATACCATTTTATTTCTTCAACAGCTATCATTATTCTTTCCTTTCTCTTATTTCTGCTAACGTACATCGCGTTCTTATAGACTACAAGAATAACTTTTGAAGAAGTTAAATCCTGCATACACATAAAACGCACATCATTAAAATTAGAAATCTAGTATAGAAAAACAAAAGTTGTTTAAAAAAGATCTAAAGGGTATTGTTAGTAATGTCTAGAGACATTTTTGATACATCATAACTTACCAACCAGATATATGTGAATGCAAGCGACTAACACAGAAATAGTGAATCGATTATCACTATAGAATATACGAGCCAGTAATAAATATAGAAAATATCTTATACTGCAAGAAGAAAATATACTCTCTTGATTATTGACTACGAGTTAGAAATATTTTTTTTCTTTCGACTGTAGAAAACGCCGTTTTATCCAAGATAATTAAGTAAATCTCCAACCTCTAACATATGTGCTATTGATTATCGTTAATTGACACTGGATGTGGTTCACATTATGTTCCGCATATACGTTTGGGTTGATACAAACAAGTTGGGATAACCTAAATAATGTTTGTTTTTCTTCCTTGACTAGGAACCTTTTTAATGATCGTATTGTTTTCTTACAGATATCCACATTTAATAACACAAAGACAAAGCTCTCTCGTTACGAGATGAATAATTCACAGCGTCTTCTCTTCATTATATTTTTTTCAATGGCAAAACCATTTTTATCTCCATATGAGTGTTGTTTGTTCCAAAATGATGTTTACGCTTATGGCAGTCTTTATCGTTTCCTGTCACATGTAATTATTAACTTATTATATAGAATATAGCGATAACCAGATTTTTATCGTCGATGTATCTTGCGTATTCTTTTTTTTAGATGACTTCTTCACGTAGATTCTTAAGTGTTGTTCTTATGCTGTTTATTTTGGCATTTGTTGTACATTTATTTCAACAGTTATCTTTGAAGTCTACAAAAATGTTATTTACTTTTAAATGCGAGAAAAACACGAGAAAGAGTTGTAAAAGTGTTACATAGGGCATCACTTCTGCCTTCTTCAGTCCAACTATTATACATATGTTCTTCTTATTTTCTTTTCTATTCATCTGTTGTACGTATGGTCTTTTTCGCGTTACTCACTTTTCCTAACTGACGTCTTTATTGAGTAACAAGAACCATTGTCTTATTCTTACCGTTATTCATTTTCGAAACAGACGGATGAAGCTTCTCGTCGTCTTTTCTACTCCTTCTATTGTCACTCCCCTATGTATATATACTCGCTGTTTTCCTCAATAAAGGGATCAGATATTCATATATCCAAAAGATGATATATATGTAACTGGGGGCCTGACCAACTTGTTGTCAAGTCAATATCACAACAAGAGATACCCGATACAGATTTACTACGAAACCTAATACACATTGAATGCCAGAAACTAGAACAACTCGCAATTTGAAACATACATCTATTCACGATCATTTATTAAATAATAAAACCTGCACATATTCAACAACTCATCATACTTCGGAAAAAAGCATGCTCGATACTGAACATTTATCAACTACTTCTGCTAATACACTACACCACGATCAAAAAATTTTTAATAATAATGATCAACATTTATCAATTGAACCATCAAATGATTCAATACATTTCATGGACAACAATCAACAAAAATTAGCACGAATACCATCGCTTGCTAATCAATATTCTTCAGCTCAAACAACAGGTGACACATACCAAGATTCAATGAAAAATACAATTAAATCGTCAACAATACATCGTAAACAAGATACAGAGGAAAATTTTATAACATTTTCAGGAAAAATAAGTGAAGATGCAGGAAAGTGGTTAGATCATATTTTTGAAGTTATTGCAGAACAAGAATTAACACCAAGTGAGCAACGTGATGTAGCTTCAAGAAGATTAACTGATGATGGTTTATTATGGTATCGTCTTAATCGCTTAAAAATGCCTGATATGCAATGTTTTATTCAGCAATTTTTGCTTACTTATAATCCACCACAAGCCAAAACTTCCACTACTAATGCAACCATCACAGATGTTCATTTCACATTAACGGAAGAGGCACTGGAGGGTAAAGACTCAGATGAAATTTCTGATCATACATCGAAGTCAAACATTATGGAAAATCTTCATTTACCATCATGTCGATCGACATCACCTCTACAAGTACTACAATCAGCTAGAAATGAAAAGGTTAAACTTTTCCCTAATTTTTCTGGCTCTGAAAACTCCTTAAATTGGTTAAAAAACTTACAACAAATTGGTAAATCACTTAAATTAAATGAACAACAAATATATGAATTGGCAACAATAAAATTAAGTGGTCCTGCTCAAGAATGGTTTTATCATCAAGATGAAATTGATAATTGGTCTTCTTTCAAAGAGGCTTTCTCATACGCTTTTCCACCACCAATTCAACCAACCAACATTGACTATTTAGCTCAATTACTAGCACGTACACAAGGTGAAACAGAACCAGTTGGTAAATTCGTACAAGACGTCAATCGTCTGTGCCTCAAATTGGATAATAAGATCAGTGAGCAAGATAAACTTCAATATCTTAGAAGAGGTCTTCGTCCACAACTCCAGCATTATGCATTATCAATTACCTCATTGCAGGATTTTCTTACAGTAATGCAACGGCATGAACAGATCGAAAAAGAAGTCTCAAGTCAACAAACATCATCAAGATCAAGCCAACAACAACGAAATTAATTCAATCACTTCATGTGCAAGCACTATGATCATCGACAGAATCCATTTTCAATGTAACATAGCCAATGATAGAAANTTTTCCTAACTGACGTCTTTGTTGAGTAACAAGAACCATTGTCTTATTCTTTCCGTCATTCATTTTCTAAGCAGACGGATGAAGCTTCTCGTCTTCTTTTCTAGTCCGTCTATTGTATCTCTCCTATGTACATATACTCGCTGTTTTCTTCAATAAAGGGATCAGATATTCATTCATCCAAAAGATGATATATATGTAACTGGGGGCCTGACCAACTTGTTGTCAAACCAATATCACAACAAGAGATACTGGATATAGATTTAATAAAAAAACTTATAATAGATTGAATGCCAGATACTAGAACAACATTAAATTTGAAACATACATCGATTCACGATTATTTATTAAAGAGTAAAAACGACGTGTATTCAATAATGAATTCTATGCCGGAAGAAACTACGTCCGATATAAAACATTTACCATCCACTTCGACTATTACATCATATCAGGTCAAAAGTACCACAACACGTAATGATGATTGTCATTTATTAATGAAATCGTCGGCTGATTATCAAAATTCGATATTACCTGTTGACGACAATCAACAAAATCTATCATCACCAAAGATTAATCATCCTCCAACAAATCAAACAATAGAAATTCCAACATTTTCAGGTACAAAGTTTGAAGATCCAGGACAATGGCTAGATCAAATTCTTGCATTTATTGAACAGCAAAATATAAATCCAGGTGAACAACGTGATTTAGCAGCAGGCAAATTGAGTGGTGAAGCGTTATTATGGTATCGTATGAACCGCTTACAAATACCAGATATGCAAACTTTTATTCATCAATTCCTGCTCACGTATCATTCAGCACCAATATCAACTTTAACCGTTAATTCAACATCTAAAGATCTCAATCGTGCTGATGTATCACATAAAGCAGCACCAATAGAAAAAATTACACATACATATGATAATATATTTAAATCTTTTGCTGAACCAAATGGTATTTCCGAACCATCATTTCCATTTGAATCATCATACCAGGTACTGCAATCAGCTAAGAATGAAAAAGTTAAACTTATACCAAATTTTTTGGGTTCTGAAAATTCAGTCAATTGGTTAACAAGTTTAGAACAAACAGCTAAAGCACTTAGATTAAATGATCCACAAATTTATGAATTGGCAACAATAAAATTAAGTGGTCCTCCTCAAGAATGGTTTTATCATCAAGATGAAATTGATAATTTGTCGTCATTTAAACAGGCTTTCTTATATGCCTTTCCACCACCAATTCAACCGACCAACATTGACTACTTAGCTCAATTATTAGCACGTAAACAAGGCGAAACAGAACCAGTTGGTAAATTTGTACAAGACATTAATCGTCTTTGCCTTAAATTAGATAACAAGATCAGTGAACAAGATAAACTTCAATATCTTCGAAGAGGTCTTCGCCCACAACTTAAGCATTATGCATTATCAATTACCTCATTACAAGATTTTTTTACAGTAATGCAACGACACGAACAAATAGAAAAAGAAACAACATCAAATCAACAATCATCATCAAGATCAAGCCAACAACAACAAAATTCATTCAATCGTTCAATGCGTAAACATTATGATTATCGACAAAATCCGTCTTCGACAAGTTATGGATCATTCGATCATTATCCTCATCAAAATCCACATCATGAAACAACTACACAATACGATGAAAAAAATAATAAAATATGTTATCAATGTAATAAACTTGGCCATCTACAATGGGATTGTCCTGATAATAATGCTTCACAACAACAGCAGCATTTTCAACAAGGGAGTCACTAGATGGTGGTGCCTCCGCCAATTCCATCCAATATCCATCACCGTTACGCTTTATTCATGTACCTGTTAATAATCAAATAATGGAAGTACTCGTGGATACAGGTGCAACCAACAGCATTATCCAGCAAGCATCTCTTTCTAAAATACAACATCAACAATTTTATCCGGTACAACAACAATTTTTTTTGGCAAATAAAACATCAATCTCTATTATTGGATATGTAACTTTGGAAATAAAAATTCAACATATTCGAACATATGTAACAGCAGTAGTTACAAAAACTTTATGTTGTGACGTTATATTAGGTGAAGATTGGATCAAGTATTATCAAGTAACAATAAATCGTTTTAAAGATCGAATTGAAATTTTAGGAAATAAGGCTGTAGTACCTTTACGAGCATCATCCAGTAACCAGTTATTTGATGTTAAAAATTTACAAGAACATATTCTCGTGAATCAATCGGTTCCATCATCATCTATTATTAAGGATAATAAAAATTATTGTATGGATTACGATAATCTATATTACAAAAATTATCGTGTTCATCCTGGTAATCAATATTGTAAAAATTATCATATTAATCATGATAATCGATATTATAAAAGTCATAAATCTATACCAAATCAACATGTCCCTAAAATACTACCGTGTGTTAACCCAATTAATAATTCAACGACAAGGAAGGTTCATAATACTCGATTAAGAGCCAGTAAATTAAAAGAAAAACCTTCATCTTCATCATCAAATATAAATGAGGCTGCAATTTCAGCTTCATCAGTACGTACAAGCATTAATTCAACATCATCACCATCAAACATTTTAGGTAAAGTTCCTTCCGTATATAATGGATTTAGCATAAGAAAATTAAAGGAAGAACAAATGAAGGACTTCGAAATTCAAGAAAAAATAAAGTATCTAGTTAATAATGAAGCTTATGACATTATTGATGGTATTATTTATAAATTGGTTCCACGTGGTAAAACAAAAATTAAGCTGCCGTGGATCCCGAAATCGATGATCAACCAAGTGCTTCTTCTTCATCAAGATCATCATACGACAGTACATCTAGGAACTAATAAAACATCACACAAATTGATGAACAAGTATTACTGGCCGAATATGTATAATACAATAACTAATTATATGCAAGCTGATAGGAAACCAAACCAATATTACGACCAGGTGAAACAAGCAAGAAAATTAATTCTCAATGATGCCGAGTTAAATATTGAACATCAAACTAAATCAGCAAAGAGTCTATACGATCAAAATCGTCCTGATCTGAAATATATTAAAGATGATTTAGTTTTGGTACGAGTTATTAATAGAACATCGAAATTTCAAAACAAATATGAAGGTTCATATCGAATTATAGAGCAAAAAGGTCCGTCAACATTTATTATCAAAATCGAAGATCCAGATAGTGATCATAATCCAAATTATACAAAACAAATGACAATATCTGATATGAAACCTATATTTATTCGTGAACAGTGTGAATAATATGAGTATTGCAACTTAGATTATTATTTTTTTTTTGGCATGGCTTTCATATGAATTATATGCATCGTAGTTTGCCAAGTCATTATTTTTATGTATCAATGAACACGACTGAGCTTGACGTCAAAAACAAATGGAAAAAACGTTACTTTGTTTCTTTTTCTTTCTAACTTAGATTTTTGTTAAGATTGTCATGGTATTAATATTTTTCTCTTTCTTCGAGATCGAGACGATCTCTTGAGCACAAGGGGAAGGTGTTACATAGTGCATCACTTCTGCCCTCTTCAGTTCAACTACTATACATATGTTCCTGTTATTTTCTTTTTCTATTCATCTATTGTACGTATGCTCTTTTTCGCGTTACTCACTTTTCCTAACTGACGTCTTTGTTGAGTAACAAGAACCATTGTCTTATTCTTTCCGTCATTCATTTTCTAAGCAGACGGATGAAGCTTCTCGTCTTCTTTTCTAGTCCGTCTATTGTATCTCTCCTATGTACATATACTCGCTGTTTTCTTCAATAAAGGGATCAGATATTCATTCATCCAAAAGATGATATATATGTAATTAGAGCTAACCTTACTGACGTATGTTTATTCATATTTGGAACATGCTGAGCTAAAAGTTCGAAAGAGACAATTTTGATAGAGCTGTGAGAGACGATTAAGATCATAATCACGTTTCTCACGACCAGTGTGGTCACGACAGTTTCGAATTATCTTTATAGCCGTTTCTAACTATTAGGAAACTTCTGACTATAACTAGTCACAAATATGAAACGGTAAATACTCAAACGAAACTAGTTGTTTTCTAAAATTTGATTTGGTGATTTCTTGCTGGTATTAGATACGAAATACAACAAAAGAGGATCATTGTTAACATCATTTCAGAATGAAAGCGCTGACTTATGTGTCAATTTATATTACTTTTTTGCCCAATCAGATAGCTCTTTTTCCTTGCCATTGTCTTTTCATAACGAGTAACCCGGTAGTCAGATCACTGCAGATCGAATCCGTTTTCTAAAACAGTCCCATAACTTCCTACAGAATTTTCTCGAAAGTTGTCGGAATCTTTGTCGCAGCATATCGGCATAATCCTATCAGAATTACAAGGGCCCGGTTATGCGACTATAACCTGAGTTGGATATTCAAAAGAATACTTTATGGAAAGACCATGGCAAGGAAAAAGAGCTATCTGATTGGGCAAAAAAGTAATATAAATTGACATATAAGTCAGCGCTTTCATTCTGAAATGATGTTAGCAATGATCCTCTTTTGTTGTATTTCGTATCTAATACCAGCAAGAAATCACCAAATCAAATTTTANGAACCCAAAAAAGGGAGGAGCCCCCAAAAGACATTTCAGGCCCCGCCCCCCCCCCCCCCTCAAAAAAAGTCACTTTTCGTCAGAATGATCGAAATTAAGATAAATACAGGGGAAGATAGCCCGTGATCTGATCTCTCATAAACGACAAAAGTTTTTACTCGGCACCTCGTTTTTTTCCAAAAGTTTTTGAAGATTCCCGCCATCCCCTATTCGAAAAATAAGCTGTTTTTGGAAAAAAACGAAAATCTTTTTCGTTTTTTCTCAGTTCATGATATGTCAAACGCGTAACCCAAATTTCTCAGTCCAGGTCCATATAATGTATTTAAAGTTTTTTTTGTTTGAAAGAGCATGTCAAGATGCAGTGCATGATAAAGTCCTTTTTTTAAATTAAACATTATTTTTATTATATATATAAACACTTATATAATTAGAGCGCCATTTTTAGAGTGTTTTTTGAGTCATTGAACTTGTGATCCCTTTTCTGCACTTAAAAAGTAAGAATTTAAAAAAAAAGGACTCTATCATGTACTTCATCCTGACATGCTCTTTCCAACAAAAAAAAAGTTAAATATATAGAATAAGACTGGGCAGAGAAATTTGGGATGCACAAATCAGATATTTTTAACCCTTGTTTGGTCAATATCTCCCTCGAACGTCATGATACAGGGCTAAAAATTTTATCATATCTTCTCCATTTCAGGCCCAAAATATCCTGAAAATTTCATGCGATTTGAAAGTACCTAGGCTGAGATCGGTTTTTGAGTTATTTCAACTGTGTAGGATTAAATAAAAGGATGATAAATAAATGTACCGTAAATTCGATAGAATAAAACAATCTGTCGAATTTCTCAATGTATAATAAATAAAAAAAAATGATAAAATAATGTTTATCTTTTTGAAAAATGTTTTAGATAATAATTAAAATGATAAATACCTGTTCTTGAAGTTTATTTAAATCTTGTTGTAAAATTTTAATTTTATTAGTTTGTTCATCTTGAAGATTATTAAGACGAACAATTTCTTTTTCTTGTATTAAACATTCTTCTTTGGCATATTTACATTTTATTTCTGTTTCATGAAGATTTTGATCATAACGTATAATTTGTTCTTGTTTAATTGTTAACTAAAATAAAATAAGAAAAACAAATTTTGTTTTTATTATGGAGAAATTTTTTTTTTTGTTTTACTTGTTTATTTAATGATTTTTGTATTTGTTGAAATTCATCATGTTTTAAACGAAATTCATTTGTTAATTGTTGAATTTGTTCATTAAGTGTTTTATTTGTACGTTCACGTTCAACTAATGATTCAGATAAATGTCGAAGCTATTTGAAAAGAAAAGAAATATTTTTCTTTTTCTGTTTTTTTTTTTGTTTTTACTTCTCTTTGTAAAATTTTAATATCACTTAATGCTTTTGTTGCATGATCTTCAGCAAATTTTTCTCTATGTTGATTTTTAACAAGATCAGTTTCAAGTGTTTCATTTAATTGTGCAACTTCAGCTGTTTTATCAATAAGATTTTGTTCTAATTGATTAATATGAGTTTGTTTATCAAAAATTTCTTTTGTTTTAATTAATAAATCATTTTTTATTTTATCTATTTGTTGTTCATAATCAATTATTGTTTTATTACGTAAATCAATTGATGTCATTGTTTCAATTAGTTTTGTTTCAAGAAGATTATTATTTGAATTTAATTCATTTATTATTTGTTCAAATTCTTCATTTTTTAATGTTTTTTCTTCTAAATTATTACGAATTTCTTCTAATTGTTGATTAGAAATTTGAAGAAGATTACGTAATTGTTGTTGTTCATATTCATATGTATTATTTTTATTATGTTCAATAGATAAATTTTCTTGACATGTACGTAATTCCAAACATTTTTTATGAAACTAAATTAAAATCAATAGAAAAATTTTAATGTGATTGACGAAGACGAAGTACGTAGCTATTACAAATGTTAAATCTTTTTTCAGTTCGCACTCTATTCAAAAAAACAAATAGATTCCAAAACGATAACTAATTTTATACTTAATCTACAGAAATATACATGTTTCAGTGTATCCATTTTGCATGTTTATTCTCGTAAACAGCAAATAAACCGTGGTATCCATAAGTATCGACAGTAGAATGTCGGTAGGAGAGAAACTATATGGTAGGATGACAGTCAAAAGATAGACAACTGATTAAGGAGAGAGGGTACATTATGCTTATTTTACTTTGAAAAAGTAATAGAAAATACTGTAGTTATCATTATACTTTGATAAAGGTTCAATATGTAAAAGTCTATTCAAAATAATATTTTTCTTTCTGTATTGTTGATCTTTGTGTCGAGACAATATAGAACACGATTCATCAATAGAAACATCTGAATAATATTCAAGAAGCTTAAAAAGTATAAGAGGAGTTTTGAATAGAAAAAAAGTAATTACTATCATGTTACTGAGTAATGAGTGATGGAAAATTCGTAATCCTAATTTCTTTATATAGAAAGATTATTTCAAGGATAGGCATGCACCGAGCCTGAACTTCCCGGTGTTCGGTCATTCCCGGTACCTAAAACATTAGATTTAGTGATTCATGTACTTTGGTCTGCATTAGGCATCCATAGAAGCCAGGTATGACCGAACTCCGGAAAGTTCGGACTCGGTATTTCCGGTATGCTCTTGGCTTCTCCGAGTGTCTAGCAGTGACCCAAATAAATAAATAATTAAATCCAGCATTTCAGGTACCGGGAATACCGAGCTCGGGGTTCCCGATCTGTACCCGAGTTTGGTGCATGCCTATTCAAGGAAATAATGAATTTCTATAAAGAGCGATTAAATTGATGAATTTTGCGAAGCTAATTTAAGATTTGAACTCCTCGACCTTGATTATCTTTGGTAAAACTCTATAGAAAATCATTCTTTTCTCGAAATAACATTCATTTATCAAGAAATTCGAGTGACGAATTCTCTGTTATTCGACAATTGATAACGGTAATTTTCTTCTCCTATATTTTACTTTACTTTATCTGTTAAAGTAAAGATAAAGTACCACTTCTACACTGATTTAAGTGTCCAACTACTGTCGATTTTTATCTAGCTTGAATAACATGTACAGAGAGTGTGATATACACCAACAAATCCGATGATGGTATATCGGTAGAAAGAGCGGGATTCATATTTTTATAAATCTTGACTCATAGCTTCCTATATATTGTTCTGAAGTTTCGTTCATTGATTAGTCTACTTGCGACTAAAATGTTGAGAACTACAGACAAAAAGAATGTATTCTTAACAAGATACTCAATTTAAAAAAAGCATAAAATTCTCGTATTTTTCGTTAGATGAATATTTTTGTCAAGAAAAGATTCTTTTGAACTGAAATTTATAGTCATAAATCGACCTATCTACAGACAAAATTTTCGGTTGATATATCATCATTCGATTTGTCAGAATATATGTAGTGCCATGTATTAGTATTTTAGTAAAAATGCCAATAACGCAACAGATTAAGCATAACAGTATTTATCCGTTTGGAGTCGTTTTTCATAGCTCTCTGAAATTCACCTTATTTACAAAGTTTCATATCAAAAACGATTTATTACGTGGAAAGATTTCACCTTCAGATGGTATTCAACAGTTTGTTGTGAATCAATCGAAGAAAAACTGATATTATTGACGAAATTTGATCTATGATTACTTATTATTCAAAAAAATATGAATTACAAAGATAAACATATTATCAAGTTGTTATTCAATATGATCCAATCTTGAGTTTTTTCTTTGTGTATTTATGAAAGTTGTTCTACTTATTAATATAAATCGGATGTAAGAAAATGTGAGTGTTAGGACTATAACTCAAGTTTATAGGAAAATATTCTATGGCTTTAAGCAAATTATCTTAAAAATCGTATCAATCAGAATATAAATGAAAAGAGATTATCGTAAAAAGTGCCACTTGTCGATTAAATTAACCAAAAAAACCTTAGTCCCTCACATCTCTTGTCGAGAGTTTTTTATAAAAAATTAGTTTACAATATTATCAAGAATACATTGATGAGATCATAAAGAAATTCTTAGTTTCGAAGCATAACTTATCACCGTCATTAGTCAAGGGAGAAACAACAGATACTTCGGTCTTGAAGTCTCAAGAAGTGTTCTGAAGTCCAATGAAGTCTGATGAAGACTTTCAGGAGACTCCTTTCCGGCCCAAAATTTTTCAGATTTTTCGTTTTTCATTTTTTGTGATCAATATATAGAATTAAATGCTCTCTATCTAGTGAGCACATTTTGAGAACTGAAAATCTACATTTTATATATAAAAAACTCGAGAAAAACGATAAAATACGCTGAAAAAAAAATCAGTAAGACTCAACTTTTTTGCTTTTCTCGTAAAACTAGATTTTTCAAAAAAAAAATTGAAGCTTTTCCCCTTTTCTTCCTCGCGATACAACCGATCGGACTCAAAAGTTTTTTTATGAGTATTTTGGTCAAATTGAGGTGTCTTTTTTTTCTCTTGAAAATAGTATTCCTATGAATTTTTGATAGGCTGCATAAAATTAGCACCATTGAAAAAAAAGCAGGTATTTTGATAGTGCCTTCAGTATTTTGCTTCTCCTGAACTGTACCAACGAGATTTTTCGAAAAAAAGACGCACCCCGACTTGATCCTAATTGCCACAGAAAAAATTTCAGTCATAAAAAACGAAGTATGGATTTTTTTGCGAGAGAAACGGTCAGATCATGTTAGGCCCTTGGGCCATAAATATATTTGGGAAAGAAGCATTTGGAAATTTCGAGTCTATAACAACTTTTGCTCTACTCATCGAGATCTATCTACCCTGAAAGTTTCATAACTATCCATCAAGCCATTCTCAAGAAACCCCAGAAAGAGGGTCCTCTTAAGCTATTGCCTTTAACATAAAATCAAGTCTCGTGAAGTCTTGAAGTCTGCTGCTTCCTCCTTGTCATTATTTATATTATATACTGAGATATATAACACGATTTTAAAAAAGTACTAGAGATTATATTTATAGAAATAAATGTGACAAGTCTTATTTTGAATTAATCTTGCTTTTAATACCGTATTTTTCAAGTAGACATAACTGAGAGAGTTAATCAAATCTGAAATTGATCTGATCAATTGTCTTATAATGATAATCATATGCAAATAATATAATCGAATAAAATTGTTTTTTTTTTAATATTTTCTCAATAAGTAAATATTGATGCATAAAATAATGGAAAATTTCTTTTGAATAAAATTAAGAATAACTTACTTCATCTGCTTTTTCTTCACAAAGACGTTTTAATGTTCGAATTTCTGTACGTAATTGTTCAGCATCTGATGAAGAAGTTTGAACATGTTGTTCGAATTGTTCATCATGAAATTTTTTTAATAAACGAAGATCTTGTTCAAGTTTATTATTTAATGCATCTTTTACATTAATCTAAAAAAGAAGAAAATAAACTGAACAATAAATAAATTAAATATTTATTAAATTACTTCAGTCATAATAACATCAAGTCGTTTTCGTGTTGAATTTAATTCTTGATCAAGTTTTTCATATTCAATTTTTGATACAGTTGATTCTATAGGAATAATTGGATGATTATTTGCTGTTAATTGTCGGTCTAAATTACGAATTTGTGCTTCTAAATCAGCTGTTATTGTATCTTTTACACGACACTATCATATAAAATAAAACAAACAAAAAATAAATCAACATGAAAAAACTCTATACTTGTCGTTCTAAATCATTTCGTTCATTTTCAAATGAAATTTTTTCATTAATAACTTGTTCAACTTGTTGTGTTAATTGTTCAACTTGTTCTTTTTTTACTTTAAGTTCATTATTCAAAATAGTTGTTGATTCTCGATGACGATCAGATATAGTTTTTAATTTTGTTGATAAATCATTTATATGTCCTTCATAATGTTGTTTTTTAAAATTTAATTCTTGTTGAAGATCTTTTAATTGATTTGTTTTGACACGTATCTAATAGAATTTTTTCATAATTATTTATTTAAAGAAAGAAAGACAAAAAAATCTTACATCCATTTTAAATGATTCATTTTTTTGACATTCTTCCGCAAATTTTGATCGAAAATCATCAACTTTTTTTGTAAGAATAATATTCTTAAAAACATGAAAATAATCTATTTAAAAATATTAATTATTAAAGAAAAACAAACCTGTCCTTTTAATTCATTTTCACTTGTCAATGAATTGAGATTTAATGTCTAAATAAAATAAAATTTACTTTAACAGACAAAAAAAAAAAGAATTTTTATTAATTAAAATAACTTGTTTCAATAAATCATTTTGCATTTTTCTAAGCTGTTCAATTTCAGCTTGTAAAACTTGTATACGTTCATCACGATATTGAATTTCTTTATGTAATGGATTTGATATTTGAATATTATCGTTTGTTATACCAATAATACGATCAAGTGGAAGAGTTTTTAATTGAAGTCGTTTTGTATCCCATTTCCCTGTACGTTTAGCTATATTTATAAATGATGTTAAACAATCAAGATCTTGTTTAAGATCAAGAGTCTCATGAACTAATTTCCATTTTTCTGTATCAATATTCTTTAATAAGAAAACAAAATAATAATTTATAGATCAACAAAACATTTGCTAATATTCATTCTTACCCCAGTTGTGTTATTTAAATCGGATAATGAATGATAATGCTAAGAAAATTAATATTGATAATGAATAAAAATATGAAAGACTCGTTGTTTTTTAGCATACTTGTAATGATGCATTGGCTTTTTTCAGTTTATTTTCAAGTAATGTTACACGTTGATTAGCTTCTTTTTCGAGGTCTTCAAGACTTTGTAAAAGTAAACGTGTTTGAATCGATAAATCTTTTACATAACTTTCATAAATAGATAATTTTTGCTATAAATAAGAAGAAAAAAATAAAAACGAAATTCATAGTAGGAAACACTCTATGAAAATACCAACGAATACCTTAGTATATAAAGCACTAGTCAAAATTATTGTTTTTAATTCTTGATATGCATTCGAAACGACTAACATTTAAAATCCTGAAACTCAAATTTTCAACTTATATAGTAAAGTTTGTCTTGAGCGATTTTTCAGCACTAATTACCTACGTTGAAGAAAATAATTCGCTTTTTAGCAAAAAAGGGTCTTACATTAAAAAAGCTTTTCGGCATAATCCCTACAAGATTGAAGTGTGAAACACAATTAATCTGTTCCATTTGTTAAGGAAAACCCTAAATTCACAAAATGCATCTGTGTTTGTCTGCTTAAACTAATTAGAATATAAGTCGAAGATCACTGATACCTGATTTTAAATTTCATTCAGTAGCAGTTATATACCTTGATATATATATTTGCTATGCTCGGGGTCTCATCCAGAGTGTGAGATTGCTTGAATTAGTGAACAGAAGAAGCACACAAAAACATACATCTACTGGAGCCTGTCCTATTGATCCCGGGACCAATGGACTTTAATATCCACACTCATATGTACATTCATGCATACATTTCATATTGGTATTAATTGCTTTTGTAAAGTAGTTATGGCAATGAAAGGGTTGAACACTCCAGTCGATAAACAAAAATGTATTCCATCGACAAGCATTAATTGTATTAATTAAATGAATAGAAGCTTTATAGTAATTTAATATATATTTCGAAAACTTTGATAGACAAATATTAGATAAAAAAAATCTCACTACCGTTACAGTCTGATGTCAAATTAAATAGATTATTCATACAATCGATCAATAAGTGAACTTTTAGCTTTTAATGAATGTTACGTGTGCTTAGTTTTCTCATGAAATATATTAAAAAATAAATCATCAATAGTTGAAAAAATTGACCTATTATATCATTCATTAATTGTGACAATATGACTGGAAAAAGTCATAATTTAACAGTTTGTAACATCCGTTTGTTGACTATATACCTGCTGCCATTTTTCGAAATCAAACAAAACCAAATTGAATTTTTTTCTATGTTACATAACTATTGATTCTCTATAAATTAGTAAAAAAAGAACAATATTGAAAAGAAAAGTTAACCTTCGAGTCAATGTGAGACTTACACTATCCGCAGACAGGTAAACAGTCTCAAGGAAAACGATCTTAGATACTTTCAAGTGTCCCTTATTTTTATCTCGGAGAAATTAGGACTTCATCATGATTAAGTAGTTTATTCGAAAAAGAAAAAAAAAAGTCTCTTTCAGAAATCTGATAATAAAGATTAAGATATAATGGAACACCATTAAATACCGGTTGATAGTCTTAATTGATGGTCTTTCGAATGCATATAAAAAATAAAAAATTAAAATTTTGACGAATGCCTCGATCTTCTTCTGAATCCTCTCCTAATAATCATAAAAAATCCTTAGAATATATTCACTTCATTAAATTATAAAACAAAACTTAACTAATAACAAAAAGAAAAATGAAAATATACTTGAAATAAAATCTATTGAAATTTTATAATATATATGTAGAATTTCAAAAGAATAAATTATAAATATTTTCTTTGACTACATAAATGGTATACATAATTTTACTTCAGAGTTAAATATTATATTTATATTACAATAATAATAGAATAATACAAAAACTATCAAACATAAAGTTAATATGATTGAAACAACTCTTTGTTATATTTATATTATTTTATTCGATCATCACAATTTGACGTATTTTACTTTGTGGCATCTTATGTAAAATCATTATTGAAATATTTTTTGTGGTAAATCAACAATTCAAAACAAACACTTTATAACAATAGTATACTGTTCTCTATTGATGTTACTATAACATAGAACTAATATTTTTCTTTTATCATCCGAATGTTATTTATTAAGTGTAAATGTATCGTTTTCATTAGCATAAAAAAGAAATATGTGAATATGATATTTGTTTTTTACATTAAATATTGAAGTAATTAATTGATTTTGTTAATTAATAAAACTTAAAATAAAAGATATGATTTACTTTATGTCGTTCATCAATTGTAATTGATTTTTCATCAATAGATATCAATTTGTTAACATAACGATTTTGAACTTCCTCAAATAAAGTAGTTATATGTTTAACATTAAGATTTTGATGTGAACATATTTTGTTACTCATTGATAAAGAAAGGAAAACAAAAGAGAAACGAAAGAAAAACTAATCATACAACTTTCATCGTTTTCATTCTTTTATATATCTCATTGACAACTCCTTTATCAAGAAGCATTTCTATAAATGCATAAATGTGTTATAGAGAAATTTTTCTTGACAAAAAATTTTCTATAAAACAAAATAAAAAAAATTTTTTTATTAAATAAATTAATTTTTAATTTTTTTTTTTATTCAAACTAATTATACGTAAACCTTTTCAACGAACCAGTTCACTTCGTTTCTTTTTTTTTTTTTTTTTTCTTATTATACTTCACTTACTTGAATGATTCAATATATTGTCATTTTATTTGGAATGATAATCTATCTTTATTAAATAGATTTATTTATTATATTATTAAAAAACTAATATAAACATGTCGAAAAAATCCAAAAAAGGTAGGACTATGGCATTAACCGATTTTCTGGCATCGGAACCAAAACTTGTTACCGTACGAGAAAGTACATGGGCAGCTATTGTTGATGAAGAAGAACAAAAAAAACCAATAGGTAATTAAATGAGTAAAAAAAATTAAAAAAAAAAATCTTTTATTTTCTAGTTGTTGATATGAGTGGTTTACCAACAGCTCCTCGTTCTGCTGTTGATATTGATTATAGTACTGTCCCAAATAATCCTCCATTTGTTATACATGTTGCTAATTTATCATTTGAAATTGATGATGAAGGTCTAAGGCGAATATTTGCTGATTTAAAAGTAATAAAAAAACAAACATTTCATTATTTTATTTTATTTTTTTGTAAAGCCAAAAGCAGCTCGTATCATGCGTGATGGTATTCGTAGTCGTGGTATTGGTTTAGTTGAATTTGAAACACGTGAAAATTTAATTGAAGGATTAAAACGAACAGATAAAGAAATTTATGGAAGAAAAATTCGAATAAATGTATCTGATAAAACTGATTTCAATCAAAATGATGGTAGTCGAACAAATTTTTCTAATCGATCAAATAGAATAACAGGAGATGAACGACCAGAAATGGCAGATCGATGGAAAAGAATTGAAAGAAAACAAAATGATTTATCTGATGATCGATCATCTAGTGGATATCATAGAGATAGACAAAATAGAAATGATCAAGGACGATGTAAATTTTATTTATTTTCTCTTTTTTTTGCTAAAAAGATAAAGAAATATTTTATTTTTATTTTTTTAAGCTAATTTTACTGGTAATTCACGTAATGGTCAACGTGGTAGTGATTATGGTTATGGTTATCCACGTACAAGAGATGATCGTACTGGTGGCAATCGTGATCGTGATCGTGATCATGATCGACAGAATACAACACGTCATCGTTATAATGATGACGAAAATCGACAGAGTAATGATATAGATAGACCAACAAATACTGATCGATATAACGATACACGGTAAATATATCAACATGGAATTTTGAGAAACTATAAGTATTTTTTCTTTTCTTTTCTTTTTTTGGTATATTACACAAATATGATATCTTTTAGAAGATTTATCCAAATACATTTCAATATACAGTAGTCACAAAAAGTCCCACTATAGGGTTAAAAAAAAACAAGGTACATAGACTTCAATAATTTTGTCTAGAAATAGAGTTTGATAAACCTTGATCGTAAATAGTAATTCGATATCGATAAGACTTAATCTAACAATAAAAAGAATATTTGTTTTTCCATTATGATCTTGATTTTCTTGTTAATAAATAAAAGTTCGCATATCTATGTTTTTGTTATAGATAGGATACTTCAATCCACTCTAACCTTGAGCCATGGAAAAGTCATCATTGTCTTGAACGATCACGGTACATGGATTGGATCTCTTCTCTATTAATCATTCCAATCGTGAAATTTTCAAGACAAATGGTTAAAATTAGATGGAGATACGCGTCACTTTTCAACAATTCCCATCAACTCTTATATGAAGATTTCTTCATAAATGAGGAAAACTAAAACCGTTTGATATCGAATTTCTATTAATGATGGAAACAACACTAGAGTCATGCAGAATATTTCCTTGTGAGATTTTAATCCGATTTGTACTTTATCTGTAGAATTATATATATTTACAAAAAATCTACTTTTACAGCGAGGTAATAAATATATATATATACACGGTGATAACAAGGACTGGAAAATCAATAGAATAACATGAAAGAAAGGAAAAAGTCCAACATATATGGTAGAAGAGAAAAACAAAACTATGACACATTATTAACAACAAGAGGAAATAAGAAGAACATAAGTGCATATGTATAATCCTATTGATAAAGAGGAAAAATCCTTGTATTAAAATGTGTCATATACTTAAATTTTTCTTTTATTTCGAACAAATATCTTAATATTCAAATAAATAACTAAACCACCACCTAAGCAAAGTCCAAGTAGAAAAGGCAGCTGACTGTATGAGCTTGAAAAATGTCAGAACGCAATTCTATGCAATATCTATTATGTTTTAATCGTAGACTTTCGTAGAGAAAATTATAATGAATTTCAGTCGATTTCAATTCAGCTAACAATTTAAGAGATAATAAAGTTGAACCAACTATTGTCATATAAGAAAAATTTTCAGATGTTAATTAACGTTTTTCACAGTCTTCCAATAGAATTGAGTTTTTTGGAAAAATTGATTTCAGATGTGCATTGGTCAAATTCCCATGATCTCGGAGAACTTTTTTTTGTTTTTTTTTTTCGTTTCGAAATTATGATTTGCCATGAAGAACAAGTGGTTAATGCATTGGGAAGACGAAAAGGAGTGAAATTCAATAAGTTCGCCATTGTACTTTGTGTAATCAACGGAACTCGGAATACGAAAGTTGAGATATTCTTGTTTGAAGAAAAAATCTATAGACTAAACTTCAAGCATTTTTTATCTTACAGCGGAACTTTTTGCGACTACTATAAAATAATTTATCGTTTGATTAGTTTTTTTTCCCAATGGATTTATTCTGAAAGCATTGTCATAAAAACTTCTTAGAATCAAATAATTCTTCAGTGAAATAGATTCTAAACATACCAGGATCGGTTTATATCTACAATCACTGTTCTAAGATAAAAGATATAAATACGAACAAAAATCACTTATTTGATATAAATTTAATTTTTTATTTCCAAAACATTGCAAATTATATATTTTTATTTTATTCGCCATCTAAAACAGAGTATAATAGTTATATTTTACTGACTTTAAAGTCAATAAAATATGACTGTTATGCTCAATTGTAGATCTCGAATTAAAAAACAGATAAAGAATTTGCAATGTTTTAGAAATAAAAATATAATTTTTCCTAACAATGGAGGTGTTTGTATTGTCCGCCGAAGAAGTGACTAGTGCCCGGCGTGACCGCCGTGACTCACGGCAGTTACGGTCACGGCCGTGACCGTGACCAATACTTTGTGAACGTTCGTGACCGTGACCGTGACCGTGACTGGAGCTTGGTCACGGTTAGTCACGGGAACTTTTTCGAAATTTTGGAAACCCCTGAGGGGGAGTAGGGAGACCTGCGCGAAACTACCCCTCCTCACTCGGTCGTCGGTTTTTATGAAAAATTGGGAAGTTTCTAGTATTCGTGATTTTGGAAACCCCTGAGGAGAAGTACGGGCATCTCCGCGAAGCTACCCCTCCCCCGATTATCACTTTTAATAGTAAATCGAATCCTAGTCTCGATTCTGTTCATTTCTTTGGAGATTTTGCAAGGATCTGTGAGAATCCTGAATGTCCAAGGTCTTGCCAAGTTTTCCTCAGAATCTCGGCTCAATTTCTGCTGCCAGGATTTCTCAGTTATACAGGATCCTGTTTAAGATTTCTTTCCATTCTTGGCCAGATGTGTTTGCAGATAATAAATACAGGATCCTTGAAGGATTCATTCATGATTTTGGTTATAATCCTAACAGAAATAATGGAGAGGATTCTCTCCAGATTTTATCAAATGTTAGACACGATCAGACACGGATCTGAGTACAAGGACCCAGTCAACTTTTTGCAGCTAAAACTGAGGAGCGTCACAACAAAAAGTCAACAAGAGAGTATATCAGTGACAGCTCCTGTCAGTTAATATAAGTAGAAGTTCTGCTCACACCCACAGCCACATATTGTTTTCAAATTTATTCCAAGTTCAACAACAATGGAAGCCCGTTCAGAATCCTGATGTAATCCTTTTTCGAACTCTGTTAGGATCTTGAAACTTCGTGAATACACACTTCTTACAGGATTTCGCCGTTCCCTCAGGAAAAAGCGAATCCTGGAAGGATGCTGACTGAATCCATAAAGAATCTGGCAAGGAAAAATTGCAATAGCTCTTTCTGGAAAGTTTTTTTTCATGTCGAGAAACCATGAAAAGGGCCGTGACTCACGGTCACGGTCACGGCCTGGGCTCACCGTGACCGTGACTGTGACCAACCTGTCGTGACCGTGACCAAAAAAGTTGGTCACGCCGGGCACTAGAAGTGACACATATTCGGGTCAAATGAAAGCTCTCACCGTCAAACTAACAAGGTTAAAATATTAGCTCGCGTTGACTTGTCTAGAGGGAGATATTTAAATTTTAAATTTAGTTATAAAAATGAATCAGGAAAGATTTTCTCCACTATTATAAAGACAAAACATAGTGTTGTTTGGGATGATTATGGGGTTTGTAGAGACCCTCTTTCATATAGCCCGAACAACATCATGTTTTGTCCTTATAATAGTACAGTGAGTTTTTCCTGTAGCTCATGAAAACGGCGTTTTCTATCAACTGCTAGAAAAATTCAGTCCACTATTATAAGGACAAAACATGATGTTGTTTGGACCATATGAAAGAGAGTCCCTACAAACCCCATAATCACCCCGAACAACACTATGTTTTGTCCTTATAATAGTGGAGAAAATCTTTCCTGATTCATTGTTATAACTAAATTTAAATATTTCCCTCTAGACAAGTCAAGGGGAGCTAATATTTTAACCCTGTTAGTTTGACGATGAGAGCTTTCATTTGACCCGAATATGTGTCACTTCTTCGACGGACAATACAAACACCTCCATTGTAAGTAACTGATTTTTGTTCATTTTTATATCCTTCGAGCTATTCCTGTTTTGTTACTGAGGACTTTATATGTCATAGAAAGATGCTTACTATAAATTCATCCACATAATATCCTATCGGATCTATTCCGAACATCTTATTCTCTCAATAGATTTATGACACAAAACATCTACACTGTCAAATAGTAATAAACTCAAAAAAAACAAAAACAATAGCAATCAACCCATAGAAGTTGCTTTTTTATTTTTATAATTATTTTTCTATTTTAGTAGTGATAAACACGATCGAAATCCAGCAAATGGTATTTTATATTTCTATTTTGTATATTAAAAATTTATCGTTGTTGTTTAAGATGATAATCGAGAACCACCACGAGAACGTCCACGTCTACAACTTCAACCACGTTCAAAACCACTTGAAGAATTTAAAATATTATCTGGTTCATCTTCATCTTTAAATAATATTACAACAACATTATCTATATCAAATATTGAAGAATCCCCGTCTATTAATGAACATTTATCTAATAATCCTGATGAATATCAACAACAACAACAATCAAATAATACATCAGAAGTTGGATCATCTATTGAAAAATCTTCAGTTAAACAATTAGCTCCATCACGTGGTGCTGGTGCATCAATATTTGGTGGTGCAAAACCGGTGGATACAGCTGCTAAAGAACTTGAAATACAAAAAAAATTAGAAGCACTTCAAATGGCTAATACAGATACAGGAAAAGATTATTATGATAAAGGATCATCATCTAGGTTTGCAAATTTAAACAAAAACAATAATTTCTTTTTTCTTCTTTTCATTAATTAAACATTTTCTTATTTAAAGACCATTATATTATCGTGGTAAACGTCCATCAAATAATGATGATTATCATAATCGTGATCGACGTGATGATGGTATTTTATTTTTAGAATTTTCTTTAGAATTTTAATCAATATTTGTTATTTAGGTCGATCAAGTACAGATTATCATCATAAGCGAGAATATAGTGGTATGTTATACAAAAAAATACAAAAAATAACGAGAGAATATCTTCAGCAAGTGTCAAATCGCTTTTAGATCGAGATAATATATCAAGAGTAATAGAAAATTTTACACAAATAAAGTTTTCAATAAGATTAGTTCATTGAGTAATTGCAAATTTTCTCCTATTCATTTCAAGATATAATGTACTTCACTATTTTTGTTTTTTGAATAACTTTTAACAAGAACATCATACAGACTTGCGGTTTTCACTATTTAAGAGATATAATTGATCGGTAATTGACCAATCAAATAAATTCTTCGTGAAGATATTCAAAGACGATAGTTTGAAGCAATTTTTCTTTGGATTTAAACTATTAATGTGATAAATGTAGAGAAAAAAAAATCTTCTCTTTCGATCTACGCAAGACTAATATTCTTAGCTTGTTCCATTCGAGAGTTATAAGACTTTTCTTGAAACTTTCGATTTCAGTCAATCGATATGTCATCACTTGAAAAGTAGTTAGGCAGGGAAAATTTATCATGTCGAGTCAAATAGTAATATTAGCTCTTAGATTTCCAATGATCTAATATTGTTATCTAAATATTTCGGAAATTTCATAATCAAGTTACATATAATAGAGGAGTTGATTTTTTTGACAATATTAAATATTACCATTTGACCTGACATGATAAATTTCCCCTGTCTAATTGTCTTTTTTTTCCAAGTGATGAGAGGTCAATGGGCTGAAGTCGAGGATCTCAAGATAAGTCTTATAACTTTTGAATGAAACAAACTAAGAATGTCGACCGAAATGGACATGCCTTCATAATATCGTTGAATGATGAAAATCACAGGTCTCTATGATGTTCCTATTAAAATTTATTGAAAAATCACTGGATAACATCATATAGATAGTAGAATTTCTTATCCTATGATATTCAATATTGGAAATATTTCATGTGTAAAATCGAATTTTCTTCATATATTTACATTACCAGGAAGGAAATACTGGCTGCACAATTAGCTAATCTTATTAAAAACGTTGTTTATGGAAAATTTGAAGTTGAAATCTTTTTTCTCACATGCACTGAATGAGATGATAGATTTTTGTTGAAAAATCAAACCATTGTGTCATTCATCAAATGAACATTGCTTTTAGGAAAAAAATCGATTTGACATCTACAGAGGTTCGTCTTAAGTCTATTTCGTGTGTTTTATTTTAATAAGAATAAATCGTTCAATGTTTCGATTAAAATTGAAGATCTATTTTCATATCTTAGTTATTAACAAAATGTAAATCATATTTCTTTGAATCGTTTTAATACATCATTTTTTATGAATTAGTATTCAACAAAATTATTGGATATTATAGTTTTTGTGCTCGAAAAAATTCGAAATAATTAGTTTTTGTTTATGAAAACCAAATTCAATTTAAATCTGATGATATAGATTATGTGTTAATGACAATTAAATGATCATCTATATAAATGTCTCGTATTAATACAGAGAAAATGTCTAAGATTTGAGACTAATATGAAATAGAAAATATATTCTAAAGAATTGTTTTATATTGTATAAAGATAATTTATAATTTTAGGTGGTCGTCGGTATGAAGATGATAGTCGAAAGCCTAATAATGATGATAATTATCGTCGAGATCGTTATAATAATTCATCTCGGCGTGATTATGATAGTGGAAGAAGTGGAAAATATAATCATTATGGTCATTCAGAACGAGGTTAATTATTAAATTCTCTTTTAAATTTTGATTCGAACAATTTTCATTTTTATTTAATAATAAATAGATAATGAACGAAATAATTATCGAAATCGTGATCGTGAAACAAATGAATCTGATAATCGTCGACGATTATCAGATGATAACTTTGATGTTGAACCACAATCGAAAAATCAACAACAGTAAATAAATCCGTCAGATTTAAATAGATTATCATGAACTAGGATGGCATTTATGTGGTTTTATAGAGCGAATTGTGATACATCGAATCGTCTATATAAGAAATTAAGTTTTTCATGTTTTGAACATCTCATTTAATAATTAGGATTATTGAAGAAATACATACCTATATAATACTCATAGGCATTGTGCTACCGAAGATAAACTTCTAGATGCTCTTCAATTTTCTCCAGTCAATAGTTTTATTATTTTACAAATGATCCCTTAGATCTAGATTATTTCTTGGCTGTATGATATTTTAGTGTGCTCTAATTTGTTGTAACAGAGCAAATGAATACCAAGGTGAAGTATTCTCAAAAATTGTATGCTATCAAGTCTTATATATTTCATAGATGATATCTATTGGAAGAGTAGGGACTAGTTATCATCTTGCAACATAGTTTTTCAGAATAGTCTATTTTCCTATATGAAGATGACAATATTTTAACAATACTTAATAGATCTATTAAAAATTTGTCTGTATCAATAATCAGTAGAGTATCCATGATAAATTTATGTAAATAACTTCTTCATAAACGATTCAAACTCCTGGAAAGAAATCCAGGTATACAATTCCTGGAAGAGGATCGTTTTTTTTCATTTTTCTGTTCAAATTTTTATTTCGAGTATCAAGGTATCATTTTTGAATTAAACTGTACAAGAATTTTATAAGTATTTCATAGTAATTTCAAAAATGAATTTTTCCATTTTCATGTACCCTCTTCCAGAATAGAGCTTGTGGAGTCCAAAACTTTTAGATTCGAACTCAACAGATTCGACTTCAAAGATCTGGAAGAGAAAAAAATTGTTTCCATTTATGATGGACTTATTTATATCAAGCCGTGTTAATTATTGGTACATAAAACATTTTATTAGCGCCTTTGATTATTGTTAAAATATCGACTCGTTCTTATAGAAAAATACGCTGTTCTAGAAGACATTATTACAAGTTGAAAACGAGTTTCTGTTCTTCCAAAAGATGTTATCTATGAAACATATAGAACTCGATAGTGCACAAATTTCGAGAGAGTTTCGTATTATAATTTATTTTATGATACAGAGTTGAATATACTGAAATATTATATATCCAAGAAATAACCTAGATCCAACGGATCATTTTAAAAGCAATGATGAAAATTATTGTCTATAGAATATTGAAGAACACCTATAACTGTATCAAATTGAATTTGAAAAAAAATTGCTTAAGTTTATCTTAGAGAGCATAATGTCTATGATTACCATATATATATTTCTCAATGATTATAACTAATATATCAAGTTTTAGAACGTTAGAAATTTGATTTCTTATATAGATGATTCGATGCGCCGGAATTTGCTCTATAAAAACCACATATACGCCCAATCTAATTCAAGATAAGCTATAAAATCCGCTGGGATTCTTTCTATTTAAAAAAAAGTCAAAACCTTTTTCATTTTATACATTAGTGGTATGCCACGGCAGACAACACAAACTGAAGATACTTCGAATAGAGTAAGATAATAAATGATTATAATAAAATGTAATATTGTTAATAATATTTAGCTTCATTTATCAAACAAATTTCGAATGCTTGATATTGATGATCCTGATGATAATGCTCAAAGTCGAATAATTAATTATTAATTAATTGTGCATCTTGAAATTTATTTTTTCTATTTGTTGTTTGTTTATTGTCAATAACAATTAAAAAAAAAAAAAAAAAGGAATCAAAACAAAAAAAGTAACGTAAGAACTTTAGATAAAGAGAGAGTATGTGCGTGTGTGAATGTTGATCTTCTTTTTAATACTTTGGTTTTTTTTTCTCTTTTCCTTTATTTGTCTCGAATTTCGGCTTCATTCGAATTTTTTTTCGTATGATCAATTCTTTTTCGTTCACTGTTATCGTTATGACCGCTCTCTTTTTTTTTTCTTTTTTCATAAGGAAACTTTCTTTTTGTTTATTAATCATTCTTTCACCATTACTCAAATAAAGAACAAAACATATATAGAATATTCCATTATTATTTATTTCGTTTATTTCAAATATCGATTTCGATAAATGTTTTTCAATACTAAATACTGAAAGAAGAAGTTGACCAACAGCAATTATTTCTAAGAAAAACACTTGCAGACAAATCATATATATATTTTTGATTACTTGTGAAGAAATCATTCGAATTGACATTCGCCGTTTGATTACCTATTAGGTCTACGAAGGTATATAAGTTAGACTAACAAAAATTTGAACAGATTCGCCTCCATAGATCTTTCCGACTAATTTATAATCGTTTTATTGGATTTTTGAACAGATGTTAGGTGTACACCGAAAAACGAAACAAATAGGTTTTCGATATGAAAGGAAGTTTCAGTAGAAAAGAATATTTCTTTGGTGAGATTCGATTTCTATGACATTTCTGTGCTTTGGAAATTGAATATTTGAAATTCTCAAGAAATTCTATTGATTATCGGACCTATTTATGGGAAAAGCTTCAACTTGAAATATAAATCTTTAGGCAAACCATTTTAGGCTTTCACGAACTTCATTAAGATTTGCTTGTATGTGCGCTATGTAAGCTCAAATGTCGAATATTATTTCAGATGGTTTTTTATTATGAAGAATCACTAATTTTGCCGGCAGGCTTAAAAAGGGTTTGATGTAAGCCTAACAACTTGACAATAACAACAGCTATTGATCTACAATTTTCAACAATATGAGGAACAAAACTCCGAATTTTTTTTTGTCTGATACTATCTAACATAAAATTATTTTAAAACTTATCATTTTCGTAAAATTTTCAAAAAAAAATATGTAAAAACAATGCTTTATTTCAAGAAAATTTTGATTTAGACATGTGACTAAGATAAAGAAAGTTCCGATCTATAGTTAAAAGTGCGAATTCAGATGGCTATTTTCTCACTAGAGGAATGTTGAGCAAACAAAATCAAGTATCAATTCAGTTAAATTCTATAGAGTTTCATTAATTTTTAGTAAACATTCTCACGACAGAAACGAATATATAGAGATTTCTATGGAAAGTATTTCTTTAAATAATGGTATATATACATTATAAAGTTCCACTGTGTATCATTAACATGCCAATAGATCATTCCACTTTCGCTGTATTCTATTGTGGATGGAACAAAGATAGCACTATCTATTGACATACTAACGACACGCATTAGAGCATGATAATACATACACTATTACATAGAAGAAGCCTCTCTCTACAACTCTACATAAATTCCGTTCTATAATAAAACCTTTATAATCATCTTTGCTTGAAACGAAACACCACTTTCATTCATTTTTTGGGGGGAGGACGTTTTTCGAGGACGATAGATTTTAGACAATATCAGATAAAAAGATGTTCGTAGTTTTGTTCTTCGGATTGCTAAAAATGACAACTCAATAGCAGTTGCTGTTGTCAAGTTATTGAGCTTACACACATCCGTCTATAATTATCGTGCAGACATTAGTTTTTTTCAAGGTTCTTCCGATAATTATGATAAGTATTTTCTAAAGATCTATTCATGTTATTTCACACTGAGTCAATTGATTAGGCAATAAAATAATGTGTGAAATTTAATAACATGTTGATTTTGACGGTTGTTATTTTTTTTATGTTTCGTAATAATCAATAGATATTTATTTATACGTTACTTTTTTCTTTCTTGTTTTTCTTTGCCGTCATACATACCTATTTTACGACTGAAGTTTTTTCATGGACAATAAGTAGTGAATAATATGACTCATAAATAGGAAGAAAAGAACATAAAACAAAACAAACCATCTATTTTACTTATCACGACTCATATGTGAATTGTGATTGTGCAAAACAAAAAGAAAACACGTGTATTATCATCTCAAACTTCAATAGTCAATAATAATACAAATAGTAAAACTGAAATAAATTAAATATTATTTTTTAATTTAATTTTGTTTTTTTGGTAACAAATTACAATGAGTAATAATAATAATAACAATGAAATAGAGACAAATACTCAATCATCTAATGAATCTACAAATGAAGATTCTTATGAAGATATTTCAACTGTAATGAGAAATCCATGGGATCCATTACATTCGTCTGATTGGGATAGACAACTACCAAATGCAACTTGTTTAGCAAGAATTAAACGGTAAGTTTTTCTTTTTAATTAAACATTTAAAATTAAAAAAACAAATTTTTTTTTATTAGTGATATTACTGGCGTATTTAAAGATCCGCCACCAGGAGTATTTATTGCTCCTGATCCTGATAATATTACGAAAGTATAATATATTGACTATTTATTTACAACAAAATAAGTTGTTGTTGTTGTCGTTGTTTTTTTCTTTAGATTCATGCTCTTGTTGTTGGTCCATTTGACACACCATATGAAGGTTAATTATTGATTTTTACTTCATTTATTTATAAGGAATTTTATTTAGGTGGATTTTTTTATTTCATAATACGTTGTCCGCCTGACTAGTAAGTTTAAACTAGTAAACAATCGATATATTTTAATATTTTTTTATAGTCCAATCCGAGCTCCTCGATGTCGCTTAATGACAACTGGAAATGGTACAGTTCGTTTTAATCCAAATCTTTATCGAAATGGTAAAGTTTGTTTATCGATTCTTGGGTAAATTTCTTTTTATATTTCTAACGTATTTAATTTAGTATTAATTTACATATTTTAGTACATGGAGTGGACCATCATGGTCTCCAGCTCAATGTATATCATCTCTGATAATTTCAATTCAATCCTTAATGTCAGAAAATCCTTATCATAATGAACCTGGTTATGAACAAGTACAAAAAAAAAACAAAAAGACGAAAAAGATAATTTCAATTTTTTTGTTTTTTATTTTTAAATTTAGGAACGAATATCAGGTGATTCAAAAAATTATAATGAAATAATAAAACATGAAACATTACGTGTTGCGGTATGTGAAATGCTTGAAAATCCAAATTCATGTCCACAACAATTACGGTAAATTTAATTGAAAAAGAAATATTTCGATTTATTTATTTTCTTTAGTGAAATAATAATAAAACAATTTTTTGATTTTTTTGATTATTATGTTGATGTATGTAAAGAAAATCTTGCTAAAGATGGTCAATTAATGGCGGTAAGAGAAAAAATATAATAAATAAAATGAATTTATTTATTATTATTTAAAATTAAGGATCCATTTGGTGAACATCGTGGAACATTTCAATATTCATCAATATTAACACGTTTAAATAAATTAAAAGTTAAATTAGAAAATCAGAGTTCATCAAATCAACAAACAAAAATCGATTCACATACTCAAAAAATAATCAATTCTACTAATACATTTGATTCAAATTTATTATCAAATTGTGAAATGAATTTAGATGATATATTTGATAATGATGATGATGATGATGATGATGATCAAGAGGAAGAAGAAGATGATGATCATGATCAAAACGAGGAAGATACTGATCATGTTGAACAATCAAAAGAATGTCCAACAATTCGGTTATAATATTGTGTTTCTTTTTTGTTTTTCTTTTTTTTAATTTTCTCTTCATTTAATGATGAACACAATTTTCTTTTCTTGTATTATTTATTTTCGAAAATCAAGACTAAGTTACAAACAAAACTTTTTGAATATAATTTGTAACAAATAATTGAATAAGAATATTATAATAATAATTAATTTAGAAATTTTTCGTTCATTAGAATATGAAAAATAGATGTTTATTTAATACTTCATTCATTTACACAAACTCACGGATAGAACTAAAGTTTTACATTCATTTTTTTTTGTCCTTAATATAGCAAGACAATAATTCATTATGAAAACTTGATAATCTATGAATTTAGATCAGAATTTTGTGCGTTAATAAAAGAATTATCCAATGTGATGTCTCGCGCTTAACATGTGAACTCAATCATTGTCAAGGACTTGTTGAGACTAGAAAAAACGTCGAAGAAGTCTTCTCCATCTGCTGCCATTTTGGAGTTATGGGCGTTACATTGGATTTTTTTAACCTTTTGCAGGATGTTTATCAAAAAAAAACCGGATTAGTGAATTCTGAGCTAAAACTTTTCCCATAGATTTCTCTTAAAGTTATTAGATTATCGGACAGAAAATATAATTTCTTTGTCAACTCAATATGTCGAGAAGAGATCATTCTTTTTTTTGACTGAAATTTTTAAAAGATTCTAATAATTTGAAGAGAAATCTATGGACAAAGTTTTTGGTCAAAATTCGCTAGTCCGATTTTTGTTTTAGAAAAATCCTGCCAAAGGTTAAAAAATTCAATTTAACATTCATAACTCAAAAATGGCAGCATGCGGGAAATATTCCTTCGACGTTTCTCTTCTCGTCTCAACAAATTCTTGATAATAACTGGGTTCATATCTCAAACGCGAGGTATCATCTCGAGTAGTTCTCTCATTTGAAATTTTGTTTCATTTCTTTTTTCGAGATTAGTATTTCAGTAACCTTTGAAAACTCGACAAAAAAAATTCGTTTAGATGAAATTTTTATGGATCGTTGTGTCCTGTGAACATTATTTATTAATTTTGACCTTGTTGAAAGCATTCCAAACAAGTCAAAAACTAAAGGTCACGAGCAAAATTTGAATATTGTCCTAGAAATATTGTGTCTATTTTTAATCGGGAATCATTAGAATTTTTGTTTATCCTATAAGTTCCTTTCTGTAAGTTTTCCTCAAGTGAGTCTAGAAGTATTTTTTTCAAAAATAAGTATTTACAAAAAACAAAAATTGATGTATATACATTTCATAGAGTAAACTTCTTATCTCTAAAACTTATAAATGAAAATGCTAATTTTTAGTTTTCAATTTCAATAATAAAAATACAAAAAATTTTTCCGTCAAAATAAATTTTTTGAGCATTTCAAAAATTATTTTTCTATTGTTGAACAAAATTCTGATCGTTAGTCGAAACTTTTAACTTACAGAAAATATTTTTTCTATTGAAAATCTAAATTGAACAAACTTTGCAATTATATGTTAGAACGAATAAATCTTTTTTCTGAATTCATCGATAATCCAGCGTCATCTATTTATTCATTTTTTGTTTTCAATTCGATATAAAGGCTTTATTAATAGAAAACAATTGGTACAAAAGCATTTGATTGATTGCTGATATTGTCTTTCTTCATTTCTTTGAATAAAACAAATTAATCTATTAAAAATAATATATATAAATATGGGTGCTTATTTATCATCACCTATTTGTGATAAAGATACAATTGAAGGTTCAAATAATAATTTATTATTTTCAGCAAGTTCAATGCAAGGATGGCGAATGTCGCAAGAAGTAAAAAACAAAAAAAAAAATAATTTTTTTTATTTTTCTCGTAAATATTTAATTTAATTTAATTTAGGATGCACATAATGCTATTCTTAATTTGGATAATAATACATCTTTATTTGCTGTTTATGATGGACATGGGGGATCTGAAATAGCTGTTTATTGTTCTCGATATTTACCTGAATTTATAAAAAAACTTGATTCTTATAAAGAAGGTCGATTAAACGATGCATTAATTGAAGGTTTTCTTAAATTTGATTCATTATTAATTGATCCAAATGTTAAAAAAATTTTACAAAAATTAGCCAATGATGAACATGAAGATGTTGAACAACCACATGAATTTGTTGGATCATTAAATCCAAATGAAGAAAATCATCATAATGATGAATTAAATATTGAAGAAGCTCAATTATTAAAAAAAGAAGCTGAAGTACCTATTGAAGAAATTCTTAAACGTTATAGTGGAAATGAAAAACATTTTCATTCACCAAATGTTTTTAAACGTATTATTGATAATCATGATGAAAATATTCATATTATACCAATTAATCAACATTCAGATATAACAACTAATTCTAATCAAGAAATAATTCAAAATAATGATAATACTACTCAAACAACAAATGTATATATATATATATATTATTTATTTATCGTTATATTTAATAATTTTGTTTATTTAGGAAACTAAACCTTCATCATCTGAAGAAAAAACAATATCAAGAACACTAAAAAAGCCAAATTCAATCGATTCATCGACAATTATTAAATCAACTTCATTAACACGACATTTACTTAGTGATAATACAGATGAATTAGACGATGACGATGATGATGATGATGATGAAGATGATTTCGAATTTAATGCGTAAGTTTTTCATTCCGTTCGATAAAAGTTCAGTTACAAAAGAAATTTTCAATTCTCAGACAAATATGCTCCAGTATTTTTTGAATAACTCGAGAACACAACAAGCTAGCAATCTGTAGTTTTCATCAATCGATAGAGAACTCCGGGAGACTTAAGTCTATAGGAAAATCAAGATTCCTGCATCTCTTGAAAGTAATGTATTTTGCCAACCTTTCAAATATTAGGCTATAACAATATGATGTTCCAATGATTTTTAAATTCTTATATCATGACTAGATAGGCAAAAGGGTGCTCTATCGATCTACGCAAGGCCGAGCTCGTTAGGTTATTTCGTTTGGAAGCTATAAATATTTTTCTGAGGAGCCTTAAAATCAGCCAAATGACCTTTAACCACCCTAAAACGAGTCAAGATAGAGGTAATCGGCCATGGTGAGTCCAATTGTGAGGTTTGTTTTCATTTTCAAAGTAATCTGACGTCGCGATATCCAAATTTTCGAAATATCGGTGCTATACACCGCATAGCGGCAAAAGTTAGACTTTCGAAAATTTGAATCCCGTGACGTCAGATCACTGAAATTGAAAACAAACCTCGTCATTGGAGTCAGCGTGGCCGATTTTAAGGCACCTCAGCAAAATATTTATAGCTTCCAAACGGAATAACCTAACGAGCTCGGCCTTGCGTAGATCGATAGAGCACTTTTTGGCCTATGTAGTCATGCTATAAGAATTTAAAAATCATTAGACCATCATATTGTTATAGCCTAATATTTGAAAGGTTGGCAAAATATATTACCTTCAAGAGATGAAGGAATCTTGATTTTCCTATAAACTTATGTCCCCCGGAGTTCTCTATCGATTGATAAAAACTGTAGATCGCTAGCTTGTTGTGTTCTCCAGTTATTCAAAAAGTACTGGAGCGCACTATATTTTGAAACGGATATTAGATATAGGGAATAGGAAGCTGTGAGTCCTTCCAGGTCCAACATTTTATTTTTTTTTTATTGGACTGAAGCTCAAGTTTTTTCTGAACCCGTAGTTTCGTACATGAAAAAGTGAATAAACAAACAACCGTATCCTTATTTTTTTGTGAGAGTAGTCAATAAATAACTAATACTTGGATCTTCCACTTGTTCACGTAGACGCAGGGTGCCAGATATTTGGAGAGAAGTGTGGACCTATAGTTTCTTAATGGAAAAGATAGTCCCACAGGGACCGGAACCAAAAGCGATTGATCGCGCTGATTATAATTTATATAGAGAAACGCTCAAAAATAATTCTAAACATAACTGATCGCTTTATTTTTCTCATATGTCATGATAATTTCTATCAGTTGAACTTCAGTTTTCGCCAAAATATAGTCACGTTTTAATTGTTTATTATCTTTCTATGTCATGTATTTATTCTATGAAACTAGAAATTCTTAAAATAATGTGTTTAGATTTTGCTCGAAAATGGGTATATACTACACGAAAAAATGTCTATGAGGTTATATTTTAGCGAACATCTTAACTCGACCAGTAGAAACTACTTTGAGATGTAAGAAAAACAAAGTGATCGGTTATGTGTCATTGTATTTATATTAAACTATGAGAAAAAGTTTTTCTTAAAATTATTTTTGAAAAAAATTAATGAATTCAATGACTGTTGAAGTTTTGAACGAAATTCGAATAGTTTTATAACAATTCTAAGATGAAGAGTTTTAGAAAAATTTTACTGCAATGATTTAATCTGATAACAATCAATCAAGCTTAAGAAATAGTTAATTGAATTGGAAAAATCATTTCTTATAGTAAGCTATCGAATGTATAAGAGTATCCAACTTTATGATGGAATTAATTTTCAGTTTTTTTTTTTAACCGAACTGACCCCGTATTTAGTATAATTATCCAATTTTGAATTTAATTACAAATAATTTGTGTAAAATCGATAGAATATTTAATATAAACTGTATAGTCGTCTTATCGTTTTTCTATAATTTCTGAGCTAAAAAAACAACGAATAATATTTCTAATACTGAAAGTAAACGGTTTTGATATGTTTTGTAGTTTTTCTACTTTATATTTTAGATCAGATGAAGAAACAAGTGGTGATGAAGGTGAAGATCATGAAATAGATGATGATGAAGAAGAAGAAGATGAAGATGAAGATAAACCATTAGAAGCAAGTAAAGCAGCTCAAATTCAAAAACTGTAAGTAAACAATGTTTTATATATGTAAATTGATTTTATTTTGTTTTTGAATTATTTTTGTAAAGTATGAGAAAATCTATAATGGCTATTTTAAATCGACGTGCAAAAAAAAAGAAACGTAATGCTACTACTAACAATGATGATGATCATCAACAAGATGTTAAAGAAAATCATGTTTGTTTTTCTATAATTATATTTAAAATATATAAAATTTAATAATTTAAATAGAATGAAGATCATGAAAGTGATGATAACGAAGAAGAAGAAGAAGAAGAAGAAGAAGAAGGCGACGATGATGAAGAAGAAGATATTGGTAAAAAATTTTGATACTTTTTCTCATATTTCGATATATATTAAAATTTGTTTTTGTTTTTATACGATGAAGATGATACAGATATTGGTATGTTTGATATGGATAATGATCCAGGTTCATCAAGTGGATGTACTGCTGTAGTAGCACTTTTACGTGATAAACAATTATATGTTGCAAATGCCGGTGATTCTCGATGTGTTGTATGTCGAAATGGACGAGCTATTGAAATGAGTTTTGGTTAGGATGATTTTTTTTTTGTTCAGTTTATTTAAACAAGAAAAAAAACTAAAACTCAATTTCTTTTTTGTTTAGATCATAAACCAGAAGATCCAAAAGAACGTAGTCGAATTGAAAAAGCGGGATATAAAGTAACATTAGATGGACGTGTTTCAGGTATGATTTTTCTTATTACACTTATTCAAAGTTATTTAAATCAATATAAATACAATCGAATATTCGATCGTTTGATGGATGTGAGATCGATAAAAACAATAGATAGACTCACATCCATCTATAAAAATGACTTTGTTAATATGATTATTTATTTGATATATATATAGGTGGTTTGAATTTATCTCGAGCAATTGGTGATCATGCATACAAAAAAACTTCTTCATTATCAGCTGAAGAACAAGCAATAACAGCTTTACCAGATATTCGTACATTAACACTTGATGATGAAGATGAATTTATGATAATTGCCTGTGATGGTATATGGAATTTTATGTCAAGTCAAGATGTTATTGATTTTGTACGTCTTCGTCTTGATAAAAAGACTCTAAATCAAATATGTGAAGAAGTAAGATTATTTTTTATTTTTAAATACAAAAAAAAAATAAATAAATAAAATAAAATTCTAATTATTTTCATTAAGTTATTTATGCATTGTCTTGCACCAAATACATGTGGTGATGGTACTGGTTGTGATAATATGACAGCAATAATTGTTAAATTTAATTTCAATTCCCAATCAACAACATCTCAATCTTCAATATCTCTTAATAATAAACGTTCATTATCACCTGAACATTCATCAACAACAGATATAATAGATAATTCAAATAGCAAAAAATTAAAAATTCTTACTGAAAATTCTACTAATGAAACAAAATCTACAGATATTCTTTCATTAAATTCAACTGAACAAACACTTTCATAAAGAAAAATATATTGTTCTTTGTATTTCTATGTAAGAGTTAAATCGAACGATAAACAACAAATTGTTAGATTAATTTTTGTTTGTGTGTATGTAAAAAAAAAAAGAAATAAAAAAAAAAACTTTTCATGTGTTATTATTTTCTATGACTCTTACAATAAAAATTAAATACAACAGATTAGAATACGAATTCGCGCGTTCAAAACGAACAAAATTAATTTATGCGCTTTTATTCATTAATTTACTATAGTTACTTTAACATTTGTTTATATTCATTTTAAAATCATTTTACTTTCTTTTCTCTATTATTCAAAATGGTTCAAGCGAATTGTAAAGTTAAGAATACTGCACGTACCACGTAAGTAATTACTCATGAGAAAACTACCCGAGCTGATACTTTGTGTTTGAGATAATAGACTAGTTATTATGTAGAAGCTGTTGACACTAGAAGGGTTCTTCACCATGTGCTACTTTTTTTTTAAGTTACGGCTGCCACAAGTTTTTACCTTTGGCACAGTATTTATTAAAAAAACAAAGGCGACTATATCTTACAGCTCAATTTTTGACTAAAAACCGGAATATATGTAGGTTTGTAGATAAAGACTTCCTCTATCCAACGGTATATAGATAGTATCAAAATCTTGTGCGTACCAGTGAGACGTTCATAGGTGGCGCCACGTTCGCTGCGTTTTACCATTGGCACGGCGAAGGTGGCGCCAACTATGAACGTCTCACTGGTACGCACAAGATTTTGATACTATCTATATACCGTTGGATAGAGAAAGTCTTTCTCTACAAGCCTACATATATCTCGTTTTTTAGTCAAAACATTATAGTTGCGTGTCAACGTAAAAGTTTTGTCTATAGACAACTCTTGTAGTTATTAGAATCTCCAAAAATTTTCAATAAAAGAGATTAATCTCTTATCGAGATATGAAATTTAGAAAAAAAATAAAAATAGATTTTCAATTATTTTGGTGAAATATCAAAACTTTTTATGGCTTTCATATCTTGAAAAGAGACAATTATTTTTCGGAGATTAATAATCTTAAGAACATAGTTTTAGCTCAGAAAAATATTATGCCAAAGGTTAAAACGCTAATGTAGTAGCTATAACTCCAAAATGTCAGCACATCAGGAAGAATTCTTCTACTCAATCAATATTAAAATATAATGCGTTCATCTGTTGCTTTTTTTTTAATGAATTTTCAAATAAATATCATAGAAATCTGCGCTTTACATTAGTCAAGAGAGAAAAGTCGAAGTGATTGAAATTTAATTAGTTAACAATGGACTAGTAGGTATCGAGTTATTGATGAAGATTGTCGAATATGATATTCTGAAGCCATTTTTCTTTTGATTTTAACTTATGATATGATAAATTGATAGAAAAAATTCTTCTCTTTCAATTTAAACAAGACTAATATTTCTAATTTATTTTGTTCGAGAGTTATTAGACTTTTCTTGAGATCCTCGACTACAGCTATTTGATATGTCATCACCAGAAAACAAAAAAAACTAGTTTGACAAGGTTAATTAATCATTCTGAGTCCTATAATAATAGTTGTTTTTAAGTGCAAACTGATCTGACATAACGAAGGAAGCGACATTTCAGAAATATTAAAATAACAGAGTCAGATTATTGTGAGCATAAAAGAAAATATCACCATTGAACTCAGCATGATAAATTACCTGTGTCTAGCTGATTTTCTAGATGATTTCAGGTCAATAGTCTGAAATCGAGATGTCTTAAGAAAAGTTTCATAACTCTCGAACTTATCAAGCTAGAAATGTCGATCTTACATAGATCAAAAAAGAAATGAATTCAGAATATCATTTTCGAAAATCTCCATCAAAAACTGTCTTAATTGCTGATCAACCGGATCTTTTTTCTTATCTATTAAAAGTCGCAGATCTCTATAATATTCTTGTCCAAAGTTCTTCAAAAAAAAGAGTGGGGCACCTTATATTTTGAAATGAAATTTCAACAGATTCCACAAAATGATTAAAATAGTATCTCAAATGCGAGATATCACCTCGTCAGTTTTGTGTTTAAACTTCTTATGTAAACGATTAATAGAGTTCGAAAATTATCATCAACAAACAAACGAATAGGATCACGTATTCGTATTCAACAAAATATATTAAATAATACTAATAAAACTCGTTCTTCAACACGTGTTGGACATAGAATAAATAATTTTGCTAATCGACATGAACGTTCAACAAATGCAATACGAGAATCAAATAAAACAATAAAACGTTTATCATCAATTAATTCACAAAAAAGAAAAAGAACTATAAAAAGTCAATTAAATAATAAGAAAAAAGGTACAATAATTAATAAGAATAATAATAATCTACGACAACAAATAGAATCTGATCAACAAAGTAAAAATAGAATTTATTTTATTGTTTTGTTTAAATATATATATATAGAAAATAAACCTTCATTAATATCTACAACAACAATAGCAAATATAACCCGACCTGATGATGAATTTCATCGTGAATCAAATTTTGAAACAAATGAATAAACAATATCGATTTTATTTGCCGATAATCGAATAAACTTATTTAAGATTGTTTTGTTTTTTTTCTTTAAAGAAAAAATTTTTTTTTTTATTATTTAAAAGTAATAAAAATAAAAGATTCATTAGTATTAATTGAATTTTCAGCATTATTTTGTTCATAACTAAAATGAATACGTCCTTCATATTTTGAATTTAATTCTTCAATAGCTAATTTAGCTGAATGACTTTTTGGAACTTGTTCTATTGAAAGTGTATTTGATGTACCAATTACTGATTGAGCTACACGTTTATTTATATGTTCAATTGCTTCACGATATTCATTATTTGTTATTTTACCTTGTAACCATGTTGAATCAAGTAATGGACTTGAATTAAAAAATCCATCTGTAGTTTTTAATTTAATATTACCATCTTCAGTTAATTCAGCTGATGGTAAACGTGGTTGACATTTTTCTATATATGCTTTAACTTCTTTTTCTCCATACGGACGTCCACTTCCACATCCCATTGTTGAACAAAAGTTAAAATAAAAACACTCTTATTTCTGACAACACTTTTATAGTGTCACTTCGAGATTCAGATTTTTTTTCTTTCCTGTTCTATATGATCTCATTAAAACAAAAAAGAACTTTTTTTTTTCTCGTGTCTTTTTTCTTACTGTAAAAATGAAAGGAGAATTTTTTTTTAGACGTCATCAACGCCCATTATAATAAGTGGTATATTATTAAATGAGTACTTTTCTAACGAAATGTTTCGAAGAAAAACAAATGAATCATTTTTTTTTACGTAGATTATTGTTAATTTTAAAAGATGGGATAATAAAGATTGTATTACAAGGAAATTAAAGCTTATAATTATTTAAAAAGAGTCTTCTAGGACAATTTGAAATTTTAATTTACTTTATTAGGACATTTTTTATTCTCTTTATATTCATAATTTTAGATTTATTGAATTCATTTATATTTTATATGACATATTTTAATTGTATAAGAAGAAATTCATAGTACAAAAACAAAAATGTCAATCTTTATTCTAACTTAAAAGAAGTTCTGCATTTTGCTCTTACATTTAGCTAAGCCACTTTTTCTTTCTCTCATTTTTCACCTTTAGTGTCATCCTTATCATTCTTTCCAGATCATCTTACAATGAACACTGAGATTTATAAAAAAAAAAAAAAAAAGAAAAGAAAACAATTCGCAAAATAAACCTTGCAAATTGTTGATGCAATATAATCAATATTAAATGTTGTACAAATTCTTATATATGAAAGAAAGAAATAATTGTACAAAATACTACATGACTTTAACTGACTTTATTTATAGAATTTTAAGTTTGTTCTATTTTTGGAAAAATTATTTATTTTTAAACTACAGTTGAATCATTTTTAGTATAATAAAAATATATACATATATCTTAAATAATGTATTGTATTTATTATTAATTAATAGAATTTAAAATTGTAATTCTCTTAAGTAGAATAATTGAGTAAGTCTTTGGAAAACATATCACAATTAATTGAACTTTCTGCAAATCCAATCAAATGTTTAGCATTTATAGGACTTTGGCTTGTAAACATAGCCATGGTTTCAAAAAAATTTGAAAGCTTTGTAAAGAAGTTCAATTAGGGAGATAAGATGCGGTCTAATATCCAAAAAGGCTTTATCTAACTCCTCTGTTTCAAATGATAGAAATTTGAAAATCATACCATACATATTAATCGTTAACGTGATCTTTTCTTGTATCAAACATCTTTTTTTCCGTATATCTAGGCCGAATGATAAACGCATCTTTAGGACCTATTTTCGGATTTTTGTCAAATTTGCATCCATCTCAGACAAGACTATCGGATTCCTAAAGCCTGTCTATATCGTGTACCCTGATCAGGACACTTGGGTCTACCATTCTTGAAGTTTTCGTTTTTAGTCAATGCGGTTTGACCAAGTTAGTCAATCTTGAATTTGTTTGTATGGATTTTATAACAGTTATAATAGCTGCTTCATTCAAAAAAAAAACGCAGGAATCCGCTAACTTGGTCGAACCGCATTGGCCAAAAGCGAAAAGCTCAGAAATGGTAGAGCCATGTCCTGATAAAGATCCACTATATTACTCACTTTTCGAATTTCGTAGTTTTGTCTGAGGTAGAATAGGTGCAAACTTGGCGAAAATAGGTCCTAAAGATACGTTTGTTATTCGATTAAGGAACAAGCCGCAAATTTGTGAATTTCATTGTTGAATCGAGAACAGGTTGAAAATTCTAAGACACGAATAATATTTGAAAATTCATCTTGGCTTGACAAAAGTATTTGAGCCCAAGAAACGTCTGCTAGAATTAATGATCAGTTCAACGAGTTGTATCTATGATAAAATTTTCAGACTTCTATCATTTGAAAGAGATAAGCTAGTTAAAGTCAAGTGAGGCTGCCAGACTCCACCCTGTTCTCTTCCCATATCTGAATCACTTTATAAGATTTTCAAATATTTTTGAACCCACTGCTTTGCTTACAGGTTCAAGCCCTACAGATGCTGAAAGTTTGATTCTATTTGTAGAAAGTCGATATAATGATGGTACTTTTTCCAAAGAATTTTAAATTCTTATTTGGAGAATATTTTCTAATTTTTTTAGTAAAAATAACGAAAAGTAGATTTATGCTCAGCTGAACAGACCTCAAAAAGTTATTTTTTTACTATAACTTCTGTCTTGTATTTTTACTTCGTATGATTTTTCCATAGGATATTATAATACACAACTTGTTCGAATATGCGATCAACCTTGAAAATCAAGAGTGAAATTCCTTTCTTTTTTTTTTGTCATCGAGAATAGCAACTATATGAAATAGTTTGTTTGCATTAATAACACAAATTCTTTTAATATCTTTAGATAAATATGTTATAGACCGATGACATTGTTATGATTCATATTGAAATAATTCTTCTTATTTGTTTCTTTATTTAACCTTAAAATTAATGTCTCATCACGTATTTAGAATACGTAATTTAGATTTATATTCAATGAATATATTTAATTCATTGAATTTTTTTTTTCTTTAAGAAAATAAATTCGTACTATAACAAAAAGAAGTCCTAGACAATGAAATAAATAAATCATGTAAATGTTTGATAAATGTGTAAATGTCATTGAAGTGAATTCTCACGGACAATAAAGATTATGTTTAAAATAAAAAGAACAAAAAGACTTTTGTTCTTTTGTCTATCATGCAGGTGTTTCGAATATTTGTCATTGAATTTATTTTATAAATTACATCGAACAAGTTTTTATGTTCTATTTTAAATATTTCATTTCAAATAAATAGAAATGAATTAGATAGAACAAATTCATTTAAATGAATACTATTGATTAAATTGGCCAATAATATGTAACATAATAGCAAACAATAGATAGATTTATTTCTTGTTTATCATCCTCTTACTCGATTCAATTAATTGAATCGAAAAAATAAAGCAAGATTATCAAGCTTAGCAAGAATTAATAAATAAGAATTGTTCTCATTTTACATTTTAATAAAAAGCAAAAAAATTGTGCTAAATATATGTTATTTAGTTCTATGTATGTATTATTCGTTTTCGAGGTTAACATGTGTTCAAATATTTTTGTAATTCGATGAGTTAGTTGTTCGTATGTAAAGAAAGAAGAAAAAAGAAAAAGAAAAAGACAAAAGATGATGTAAAATGTACTCTCATAATCTTCTCTTCTAATCTTCACATTATTCATCCTTTGTGTATGTTCATATTCATAATATGAAAATCTCAAGCAAAATGATTTACTTGATTATCAATGTATTATTTATCTTATTTGAATTAAATAATGGAGAACATAGAAATTATAATTTTTTTATGCCAGATTTACCTATACGATCTGATTTATCTTTATCATCATCTATTTCAACAACACATAAAATTCATTCATTTACAAAAAATTCATTTAGAAAAATAAATCTTTCAGGTGGTCCATTTAATGTTAAACTTAATCAAATAATAAATTCAAATGATAATTCTTCATATGTTGATATTGAAACAGATGAAACAATTCATAGATTAATATTAATTGATATTATACAAAATGATATTCTTTTTATTCGTATGATTGAAAATACAAATATTATTAATAAAACAAATATAACAATAAATATTAATTATTATGAATTAATTGAACTTAATATTGATGGTATAATTAATATTCAATGTTTAAATAAAATTCAAACAGATAAATTTCGTTTATATAATCGTGCAACTGGTTTTATTAAATTAAAATTAAATGTTAATATTCTTGATGCTTATCTTCATTCAATTGGTCGTGTTAAATTATGTGGACAAGTTAATTATCAAGCAACAATACAATCATTAGGTGTTGGAGATATTCAATGTCAAAATTTATTTACAACAAAAATAAATGTTATATCAAGTGGTATTGGAAATATTTATATTACAGCTACAGATGAAATAAATATAACATTAAGTGGAATTGGAACAGTTTATTATGCTGGACCATTAAAACAAAAAATGAAAACTGGTTTAGGAAATATAGTACAAATACAAGACTTTTCATCAATGGAAGATGAATAAACATTTCTGTTTTTTTCTTTTGTTTTTTTTTTCCAGATTAATCTGTTTTTATAATAAGATAATTCTTGACCATGTCACAAAATAATAGAAAAAGAACAGAGAAAAAAAATATAGATAGGAAACCATTCTAATAGAATATGTCGAACGAGTACCCAGGGTGAAACAAACATCTGGTTGCCAATCTTCAATGGTCGATGCTGATATATGAGATCATAATGACAAATGAAAAACAAGAGAAAAGAAAGAAGAAACTCAATATTCTCTTTTTTTCTCTTTGTTACTCTGATGAGACTATGGATTGTATGCTTTTCTCTCTAACATACACACACACACACACACACACACATATACATAAATACAAATCAACCATCTTACTGTAACAGATTGTCGATAAATACGCATTCTGATTTATGTTTGTCCATTTCTTTATCTTCGATGCAAAAAGATAATGATAAAAAATGATGATATTATTATTCTTATTTGATGAATGACTGACATTAAAATAGATATAATTATATAAATAGAAACTGTTTTGTTTTCGTTTATAATAAATAAAGTTAGAATAAAGATTATTGGTCAATATGTATCAATCACGTTCGTCATCATTACATTATGACATATTACATGGAATTCATATGTCAACTAATCTGTCAGTTATAATTGCTTACCTAAGCTATTTTCCACCACCACCACCTATTATACCTGGTCCACCAACTCATCGTTTTCGAACATATTATTCACCTAATTCTGTTTCATCATTATCATGTTTTGTATCTGATAATTGTAATCCTCAATCATCAAATGAATATATTCCTCTCATTGATTATAATCAAACAACATTATTTACAAATATTTCTCATACTACAAAGAATTTTTCTTATATAACAAAATTTTCGTCTCTATCTGATAAGATAATTTATTTATTTCAAAATCATTATTTCTTAATGTTTTTATTAATTCTTCTATTATCAATAATATTATTTTTAATGTCTTTATTAATATTATTTATTTATTTTCAACGAAATAAACAAAATCAATTAAGATCAAATAATAAAAATAAAAAACATTATAATCGTTTAATACAATATCGTCGACAACGTTCAAAAACAATAAATAATAATGAACATAATTTAATGCATTTAAGAAAAGATTCTCTTACACCAAATCTTACAAAAATATCAATATCAAGTGGAATACATACAAATAATAATAATGAAACTGAAGAAGCTGTTTAAATGTCAGTTTCTTTTTTTGTTTCTTGGTTTGTACTCAGAAAAATAAATATTAGAAAAAAACAAACAAAATCATTTTCTAAGATGTATCATAAGAATACTTGTTGAATCACAGTTATAAGATTTTAATGTACGATTATCATCAAGTTCATCAAAATAATTATCAATTTTTGTTATTATTATTTTATTTGAATCAACATTTTCTTGTTTACTAAATATTTCTTTTAATTCATTTATTGTTTTATCTAATCTTATTTGACATTTATAATTTTGATTTAGAAATGTTCGTAAAGTAATATAAATTGATCTTTAAGAAAAAATAAAAATAACATTTACAAATTAATTTTTGAATGCAAAACAAAAAAAGAAACTAACTTCGAATTTTCATCTATATCAGAGATACTTAATTGAAAACTATCACATAATTGATTTATTTCATTTATTTGACTTTCATCATATTGTAAAGATATTTCAATTAACTGAAATTAAATAACAAAGTGAAAGAAACTATTGAAGTTTTTTTTTTTTGATTGTCAAACTTACATTTAAATACGACAAATATTGATCAAATTTTTCTTTCATATGATGTTGAATATTGGATACTATTGTTAATAAATTAATTAATTCAGATTCTGCTTTACTAAAAGAAAAATTTTATTTTTATGTTTAAATAAAATTAAATACAAAATTAGAAAATAATAAACCTATTAAGATCAATATTATTTCGAATTATATCAAGTTTAAATTGTTCAAGATGTTGAAGATCATTTTCTATTCGTCTAAAATATATTTAATTAAACTATTGTTGAATAAATATTTATTTATCTAAAAATAATCATTCAACTATCATGTTAATTAATTATTATGTCTTTTCAACTTCTCAGCATAAAAAAGAAACTGAGTATAGATTTAACAAAATGAATACGGATTATTTTTTTTATCAAGAATCGTAGAAGTTTTTAATTAGAGTATGAAGGCTTTCCATTCATTGGATAAATACTGATTTTGAAACACGATTTGCCTCGTTCTGCCAGAAAGTAGAACAAAAAATAGGCAGAAAATATCGTTCCAAGGTAAATAACATTGGATCAGGCGCGGAGAAAAGGACGACCTAGTAGTAGGTCGTATGTACTGAAAGGAAACTAGGTAAGGATGGATTCCATTCTTCTCTTCTCTCAGGTCATCACTTCTAGCATTTTAGGAATGAAAGCACATTCCGCTAAATTTTCAGTTCCTCCTACACTTAAAAAACATCGTCAACTCAGATAAATTATATTCTTCTCTGAGAAGATCCTTTCAGGCTATGAAAACGGAGCTGATCACTAAAATCATACTTGGAACTACTATCCGTTCCAGAATTCAAGACACTCGGTTGTTTTTTGAATAACTTTTGATAGGAACAAGATAGAGAACTGCAGTTTTCAACGTTTGATAGTCAAGACCCAAGAGCATCTTTTCATAAGCAAAACCTTTTCTGAGAAAAAATCTGAAGACCGGTTTATCAGAGGATCTTTGGAAAACTACGCTGGATTTCTGAAAACTGTCATAGAAGTCTATTGATTGTTTTACATATTCGGAATCAGTATCGAAAACTACGTCGATTCATATATATTTAGAATGTTTTAATGAACTTTTTTTTTCATCGAAAAATCCACCCCTAGCTACACCGAGGGTCACGAGAAAAAATGAATTCAGCCAAAAGGCCGTTTCTATTGCTTAGTCATTTGCTATTTTGTGTCCTACTAGCATTTTACAAGCTTCGAACTTGCTTTTCACTGTCCAAGTGACTTTTTGACTGAATTCATTTTTTCTCGTGACCCTCGGTGTAGCTAGGGGTGGATTTTTCGATGAAAAAAAAAAGTTCATTAAAACATTCCAAATATATATGACTCGACGTAGTTTTCGATGCTGATTCCGAATATGTGAAACAATCAATAGACTTCTATGAAAGTTTTCAGAAATCCCGCGTAGTTTTCCAGAGATCTTCTGAGAAACCGATCTTCCAATTTTTTCTGAGAAAAAAGTTTGCTTATGAAAATATGCTCCTGGATCTTGACTATCAAACGGTGAAAACCGCAGATCTCTNTGATAGTCGATTTATTTTTTTCTTTTGTGAACAATGAACCATCATTCAAATTACTTCACATGAAACGATTGCAAATGATAAGAAACAGAGCAATGAATTTGCTTCTCTGAAATTTCTCCTGATCCACATAATCATGATATGGTCAAAAGTCGGCAGTCTTTTTTGTTTCATGTATGTATGTTCAACTATTGTGAATAGCACCATTCATGCATGCTGAAACATTACAACATACCCAAAACATGAGGTATTCTGAGACAACCATTTTTTACTCGAAGTTTCACGAACAACAGTTTAACGAGCTCAGCATCCGAATCTAGTCATTATCATTTGGTGTCTTTTCTGAAACTCTCCTTAACAGTCAGAGGAGAAAGCTCAAGAAAAATAAAGTCAATACGAATTAAGTTTTTTTTATTTTTCTTTAGCAGCTTTACTTTAGACATATGGGCCTCATATTCGATGTACTAGCTATGCATTACAGTGGTTCGTTATTCAGTGCTTGTTATGAGATCTTCTGCTTGTTCTAGTTTGGTTGTGTAAAGTTTATCAAGATATCATCGCGAATAGTAGCATTGTAAGGGGCAACAAATCGGAATGTAATCATTTCATAGTAGTATAGAAAATCTCGTGCTACCCTCATTGCCAAGATGAGGCTGGAAGTATAGGTCAAGCAGGTCGACATGATACAAAAAATCTCATTATAGTATCTTTTCAGACCTTCATTTTGAAAGCAAGCTCGATAAATCTCATTAGAATACATGTAAAAATCGAGCTTCAAGCGACAGAGAAAGTGACGAGTCAGTTTATAGCGTTATCAATTCTACTTCCTCCACGATTATATTTTTTTTAATAATGTATCCAAATGTAATATGAAGTTCTAAGATTGCCATACAGGCGTGTCTGAAATATTGTAATCGACTGTGCAGTGTTCAATTCTTATGCGTTGATCGAGAGTGAGTAATGCAAAAATAAATTTTTCAACGAACTACTCATGTATCGAGACATCTTTTAAAAACAGAAAAAGGTAAATATAAGTGTTTCTACAATAGGTAGTTCTTGAGTTATGCAATTGAAAAATTTCCAGATAAATTACTTCATCATTATTTAAGTCTGTTTCGATTTATATTGCTCTGTTTTGTTATGCGTTTTTATGGAGAAACTTTTGTAATATATAATGCTAGAGTATAAGCCTTTAAAAACTAGTAACTATAGTGGTAACTTCAGTCACTAATATCGAATATTTGACGCAAGCTGATATGGTCAATGTCCTGTTTTTTTGTTTCTTGATCATAAGGATATTTTATCAATAGAACACAAATATACACCTTATTGATACAAGCCATACCACATGTGCAATATGATAGTGATGATTTTGCTGGTATCTTTCAGTTCACAACCGATATTATGTATCTGTCACAATAGAACTAATAAATTTTACTGTGAATGTATTTTGTGAAGGCATATTAATAATGAATTTCTCGCTTTATCGACATCACCTATATTAAATACCATCTGTTTCTCTAGTTTTTCTTCTGTAAAAACTTATTTCAGTGTCATCTCCGATTCTCTCATTGTTTCTCACGAAACACTCTAGCTTGATGAGTCTAATCTTTCAACAATACCGTATTTTATTTACAACAGCTTATCACGTTACAACATGTTTGGTACTGATAATTTCAAACAGCTAATTTATATGAACTGAGATCTTCAGAGATTGAAAAGTACATACATATACCTATTTCGACAAAGTACCTAATGCTTTCAACCAATAATCTAGGTGCGAAGAGAACTCAAAATAATACTAAGCAAAGAATCTTGTGCTACTCTTGTATCAGTTGATGTGTGTGGATGTCGAAACTAGTATTTAAGTCACCAGCCAATTGGGCTACTTAAATTTGAAATCAGTCGGAATCTGAGTCGCTACTTCGACATATCTATTCTAAAGAAATCTGATAATCGTTGAATATGAACAAAAAAATGATTTATGATCGACTTTCGATCAAACTTGAACATGCTTACCTAAACCATAAAGTATACTGAAGATCTTGTATACATCTGCGTTTTCGTGATTGGTTCTACACAGAAAGATAAGAGTAATATATTGTTAGAACTGTTCATGTTAACTTATTCAAAACTGTACATAGTTTCTCCGCATGTTATGAAAGCTTACACATGGTATAGAAATTCATAGTTTTTTAAATGCTATATGGTACTTATTTATCATAGGAAACATTCTTTGAGTCTTGCTATTTCCGCTAGCCTTTGAATTTGATCAGTAAATCGACGTTAACAAGTGTTCCTATCTGGTCTCACATAACATGAGTATTCAATATCGAACGTTCGCTTAACATATATGATGAAAAATATGATTTAGACTAAAATAATTAGAAAACATTTCCTGCATCATAGGTTACACTTCGAATAAAAATTTAGCTACGCATGAGAAAAAGTAGTTTCACCACCTTTCAAATATCTCATTCAGTTTTTATCGGTAAGACTTAAGTGTTTTTCTGAAGATTCATTATTCAGGTATCTTACAACCACATATAACAAAATCTTACTAATCATATAACACTCACTGGATGTATGATAAATGCTGGCATCTTTGATGATGGCTTATCCACAAATCAAAGTTTTCATACCATACTACCTGTTTTCGTTTCCTCAAACTAATTAGGCATCGCCTCATTATGATACACAGAGGTTTCTTTGTTCAACAGTTCCTTTGCACATTGCATTCAAAATTAACCAACTGAGCAAAATAGTACTGTGTCCACTGTTGCCTTTTTTTAAAGTATAAATGTAATAATGAAATATTTTCACTCATAAATGATATGTGGTCAAATAATGAACTCTGTCCCAAATTTTACAGAAAAAAAAGTTTTCATCTCATTGCATTTATTTGGACAAAGTCATTGAATGAAAAGTTCGAAAAAAACAAATGTAATAAGAGAATAGTCAGATCATTTTCATAGAGCTTTTCCAATGAAAAGTCTTGTAAAGCCGCTGATGAGAAAATCACTCAAACTGATAACCATTATTTGAGCTCGTATGAAACACACAAAGATGCTCGAGTGAGACTAGCAAAAATCTTGAAGACTTCTCTGACATGTGCCTTTGGAGTTAAGCTATGATCATTTTACTGAATTGTCGACACAATTCCATTAAGATACAGAAAAAAATCGAAGAGTTGAATTTTGAAATGCATATGTGTATTCACATATACATTAAATGACCTGTAAAACAGCTTATAACGCTTTCCAAGAGTTATAAAATCTTATGTTCGTTTTGTTTACGTTCATTCACAAAGTTCTATGAAATTTAAAGAATAATTAAATGTTTTCTGAGAAAAGTACTTTCTAGCTATACACTTTCGATGTGTATTGATTTTCAGTCAGATTATTTGCAAGTTCTTTTTACATGTTTTCCTAGAAAAATATGTGTAAATAGGTGCGATGGGTACAAAATATTTTAAAAACATACCTTTTACGAAATCCTGCATCGATTAACGCTTCTTCATTTACCATTCCAATTGTTTCCATTGTCTCTGACATGAATATAATAAACAAGAGATGAATCTATTATATTGCGGCTTTTTTTATATTGAAAATAATAATCGAATGATTCTCTTCTGCTCACTATTGTGATTCGTTTTTTCTCACTCGTGCGACACCTGTTTTGCCTATTTTGAAGACAGATAACTAGTCGTTTTTTTTCTCATCATATTCCACATGTAAGCTTCATACAGAAATGCAAATTTACTACAATGATATATGGCTTTTGTTCTTTTTTGTACATCCTATAGATCGATCTGGCAGAAATATACCTCATGAGTATATCGCCAAGTGCAAATAAACGAAAAAACAAATTGCATTTTATGAATATAAAAAGGACACAGCAGTTAGTGGTAAGAAAGATGGTCAATATAATCATCTTGGTCATCATCATCTGAACTAAATTTGAACCTAGATAAAAAGTTCTTACAAATAGATTTTTACATACAATATCTGCAAAAGACACGCATGAATACGATTTTGTTGTAGATGAAAAAAAATAAAGACACGTAGGAAAATTTTGCCATACATTTGGATACACCATTGTTTTGTTATTACTCGACCCATACGAAAATCATCTTTATCCTAATCGCATTTGAACGCATGTCAAATAATTCTTCTTGGACTTCAAACGAAGTTTAATCTCGAATCAGGTCTGTATACATTGGCTTCTTACGTTTTAGACGTGTTTATATTCGAAAAAAAAAGATATCTATATCAAAAGTCTAGTAAATGTGTACAAGAGCTTTTTATTTTCACAAATGGTGAGTAAATGTAAAAACTACATTACACTGTAAATTCAATTAAAATAAAACTTGTTCAGATGTAATTTAAAGTTACTTTTTACTGTAAAGAAAACTTATCAGTGCGGTATGGGTGTGGGCGTTTAGTTGACATACACCCAGATCCATACCCTTATTTTAGAGATTTTATAAGAACACTATATAGTGCCTCTAGTCAAAAATTCATTGAAATCGAAATGAAATATCTGAGGCGATTCCCTCGTTAATACAGTTTTGAAAACAACGAGAAAGATTTAGCTTTACAGCTCTCATATATAATACTATTACCTATATTTTTAGAAAGAATGGACAATTGATCAATGTATAAAATCGGGACATATGTAAGACATGATTATATAGGATGACCATATAAGACATCATACGTTTAAATGCGATTAACGTTTAGAAAAATGAATCAATTATCAAAAATGCTTCCATGATCATATTTTACATAAATCATGACATGAGTGTCTTTTAGATCATATATATTTTATTGAAACATATTTAAATACTGAAAGACTATTTGATGATATTTCTTTAGAGTATATCTTCACTTTCATGAATCGTTTGTATCTTTGACGGTCTAGTATAAAATATGCTTGTATAATATCCTTCTTTTCATATTCTAAAAATGTAAAAGCAATAATGTACAATTATTTTTAAATTTCACCTAAGATAAAATATTAATTTTAATAATCTTATTATTAGAATAGATATATCATTTTTTTTTTTTTATAAAACTTTAACTGAATCTAATATCGCTTGAATTAAAGGACAAAAATATTGCATTAATTTATGAATTCTTTCGAATATTTTATCATATAATAAAAGTCTATTGTATGTTATGGAAATAATTGTAGTCCATATTGTCATGCATTCAAAAACATAATTAATCAACAAATAGCTCGAATTTCTAACAAGAAACCATTTTATAGTATACTAAAACTATCTGATCAGTGTATGGTAGATGAATACAATAATATAATCAATGGTAATTATACGTCTGAACTTAGTGTAGATTTTCAATTCGGAGCTCATATAGAGTCATTATGTCTAATCATAATTAGTCGAACACATGTTGCCATTTAACTGTTGCTGGTTATATATGCAAGACTTTATTTTTCGTATAATCGTCAAGAATTTTCTGGTTCATTTGATTTTATATTTAATCATGCTGATATACAGACGCATGTAATGCACAAAATAGTCTAATACTAACGAGAAATGATACTATTGTCTAGTATAATTTGTTCAAATATCGAGTTATTAGTGATGAACCATCAACTTAATAGAAATCTTGAATAAAAAATAATCTTGAGCATTCAATTTCAAAACCTTTTTGCCGTATAAACTGAACTTGTTTATTACTCTTTGAAAGAATTTTTTCTGTACAAGTACCATCAATATTGTTTGTTCTTTTTTTAATAGAATGTATACCACGTTACGATGCTTGTCAAAAAGAGAAAATGAAGTACTTAGCATTTGCCAAATGAATCCAAAGAATCATACTATAAAAAATGATATAAAATAAATACATCTTTACTATTTGTTATTAAAGATAAGCATTTATCAATCTGTAGAGAGTATTCAATCATGGCCAAACATTTAATAGACAAAATAAAAAATAATCTATATGTCACAGTGAAAATTAAATTCTACTGAATTTTAATTTCTACTGCAACATATACATTAAAATGAATTTTATCATATCATTATCGTAAAATCGAACACAGGGTATGGGTGTGGATGAATATGAGTACGAACGAGCAGACGAAACCTGCCTACATCAAATCACCCATACCCACACCCAAATCCTCAAGTAGAATGGCGTTCAACAGTTAGGCATGTTTCCTCGTAAGACTATCGCGTCATCTATTACATCATTTCAGAACAACAATATATTGAAATTTTGCAATTTCTTTTTGTTTTTGTTTGGATTAAGCAGATGAATAACAAGTGACTGTTCTTATAAAATAATTACCCAACATAACAGTAACTATTGAAGCAAACCATTCTCGACTCTATTGATATTTTCCTTTCTGTGTTTATTTCTTCAATATATAATTTATCCAGCAAAAAGAGTTGCATTTCAACGATGTCTGCCTATCAACAAAAATTCTTTACGTGTGCAAAGTAATTATAAAGATTATACATACTTTCAATCAATTTCACTTCAATATAATGAAAATTAATAAAAGAAAAAGAAAATCTCACATTGTGTAATTGACTATCGCGTCGAATATCTAAATATCATACGCAAATATTAACACAAGGTACGTTTATTTGACTTTAGCCATTATCCTTCACTAAAACTATGATTACTAGTAGATTTTACAAGAATCATTATAAATTAAAACCTTACGGCTTGAAAATGTGGGTGTGCGTCTATTTCTTGTGCTTAGTGACACCCACACTCCCAACCTATACGTAAACAAAGTCACGATGTGATTTGATAAGTCGTGATTAATATTTTTCGGAAATGTTTCTTATTCAGCGTCCACGACGATTTATTGAAAATATTTTCGAGAAAAACAGTTTTGAAAGGTGAATGATTTTACCAGTGTGAAAAAGAAAAAACAATCGTTTATAGGATTCTCAATGAATTATCATCAATATAGGAATCGATGTTTGAGCCTCCCAGGTCTTTTCGAATGAATTTAATTTTATAATCAATGCTTCGTGTACCCCTTGGTAACGGAAACGCCCTGATATAACGACACCATCCTGGATTTGATGTCTTGCAAGCAAGTTCTCCTGTAGTTGCTGTGTTCAATATAGAGGATGAAGATGATAGAAATGTCAAACTAACTTCCACTTGATCATGACGCATAAAAAAACTGTCCCAAGTTTGATAATAAAAAACGAGTTCCGCTCTGAGAAAATGTGAGTCAAGTTGACTTTCCGTGAAACCTTGAACACCACGAAGAAGTTTAACATTTTGAATTAATCCTGATGGTGAATCATTTATTTCATGTCCGCCAGCAAAACAATAAGATCCACTATGTGGATAATAACCGCTATTGAATGCTCCATTTGAATCAACAATGACAATCGAAGGACTAGTTTGATTCCAACCAACAATAGATCCAGCTTCGGCACCGGGATTTAACAGTAGATTTGGGGCAATCATCATAGTATTCGTCGCTTAAAAATAAAACAAGCGAAAGCATGCTTAAAATTAGAAGCCCGTATGCCGGAATGAAAACAAAATATGTATTATCATTTTGAGAATTATGAAGCAAACTTTACTTACGAAGCAAAACGCTTTCTAGAAAGTTTTCGTGAAAAACGTTCGTAGCTAGCTGTTGAAAAACCACTTATCAGCACATCCGGAGACAGAGTGTCACTGACCGTTCGTTACTTACGTTCCTGAATGATAGGCACCCCGTCCCCTCCCCTGCACCAATTTTTCAGAGGAGGCAATTGCTTCCTTCGCCTTCAGACCCGCCCGCACATGTTTACTACTGATATCAATTTGAGCTGGATCAGAGCATTTTCAGTGAAAATATCAAAGATATTAGTATATTAGTAGAGCAATACTAGTAAACAGTAAAAATTGTATATCTCCGCACAGAAAACCCGAAAAAGAAAACCATTGTACAATGTTTACTAACTCAATGAGGTCTATCTTTTGAGTATATCTTCGTTTAAAAAAATGAATGGACAATTGGGGCTGATTCCTCATAAGTTCCATTGAACCATTGGGTTTTGCTATTAGAATCGGCTCATATTCCATGGTCCGGAAACTATACTAAGTCGATATTTTCGGTCGTATGCTGATAATACATGAACGAAAATGAATTATCATTGAAAAAAAAAATTGAGATGTGTCCATGAAGAATATATATTGGTTCCAATATCAACCTAGTAAACGTTCTAAATATCCAAGTTAACTTGATATCGGCATGAATCAAGATGAAAAAACAATGTAACTGCTGGTTACAAAGCATTGATGTAAGCGAATATTTCAAAGCAACGCAAGTCAACAGATATTTTTTTTATAAATTTCATTTTGAATGATTTACAAACTTTGCAAACGCTTAACATCGATGATTAACATAACACTATGTCTAAGCGTTATTCAATTTCATTATTTTTTCATTTCAGCATCTACTTCTGGTCAATGGCAATGGAAAATTCTTTGAAACTTCTATTATAGGTACAGAATATGTAGATCTACTATCGATACAAGTTTAATTGATTTACCTTTGGGTCGAGCTGAGCTATTTGGAAAATGTGAGCCGACGCAGAATTTCTTTTCGGTGAAACTGAGTTTAGAATTCTACCACGGAGTGAAGCAACATACAAATAAATGGTGTATATAAAAGTTGTTCAAGTTTTAACTAGTTCGCAAAACATCAGGTCATTTCTTGACAAGCGTTACTGCATCGAATAACCAACTATAAATAATGTTCATTACGAAATGTCATACTTTTCAGAATATCAAAGATTGAGCAAGAATGTAATCAAGAAAAGTTCAAAGCAACTAGATATTCATCACCAGCATCGTATTCTGTATTTTAAATGATGTTTTGTTCACTAGAACCCAAAGAAAAATATTTTTCAAATTTTTCAACCCGAAGAGTTTTCGAGAAAAGTAAAAGAAAAAGTTTCGATTAACTAAGTTAACTCTGATCAGGGTTTAGGTGTGAGTGCGGGTCTTCTGTTCACTCACATCGATTATCTCTAATGCGCAAATAACTGTTGCTAAAAAGAGATGGATGAAGAACAAATTCTCCTGTGGTAGAATCTCAGCCGTTGAAATGCAGGTGTGAGTGTCAGTGTAAAAAGCAAAATATTCACACCCTCAGAGAATCTTCATTGTAAGTGTCAGATCTCTCTTGAGAATTTTTCATGAATAAGTGTCTGCAATTCTTCCCAAAAAAATGCTAATCTTGGCTATGAATGTGATGAGAAAGCAAGGGCATTTAGTGAGATTGTTTCAGGATCCACTCTCAATCGTATTCACAGTATTAACTGCATTTGCAGAAAGTGTTTGCCTGTGAGGTGTGGGTATGCATTCTCACTTCAGTCACACTCCACATCCTACACCCATCATTTTTTCTTTGAGGCATCTCGTAATTTACTGAAATGCCTGAAAGCCGATTTCAATGAAGTGACAAGAAATCATCCAATACTTCTCGATTTAAAACACAATAAGGGAGTCAGATCAATTAAAATTTGTAAAAATCTTGTTCGTCAACCGTGGTTTTCTTACAGCATCCAGGCTTGCGGATATGTTTTCATAGTCAGACTAGTTCCAATTCTTCACTGCTCTGTCTCCATGTATCCTATATTTGTGCTACCTATGTTTTTCTAGTGAGTCATTACGAAAGATCCTCTAGAACACGAGGCAATATCTCTCTGTATATGTCAAATATCCTCAGTTGATTTATATGCACTAAATGACATGCATGAAGTGCATATGACAATCAAAATTCCCTCTGGACAAATTTTTGTCATTCTTGAAAATGATCAACTAATTAGTTTTTGAATAATCTTATATCGTTCGACAGTGAAATTATTACTCTTTTTCGGAGAGTAAAAAGCAGCTCTGCCATCTTGGTAGCGAAAAGTATGAATGAAACCTTTAGAATCCAGTGCATTTTTACAGTATGTGAAGTGGAATATTTTCTTAAATATAAATAGAGCATCTTTGGTTGAAAGGCAGCATATATAGTAGTATCAAACGAAGAGGAAGAATGGCTTTCGTTTTGTAGATGTCAATAAAACGAAGCAAAATTCAATAATGACGAAAAATAGTCAACATAGGAATTACTATTAATCGATTTTTTTTCATATGATATAGATCGAATCATCCATGATATAAGATCGTTGATTTCATCAATGTAACCTATAGCTAGTCTCAGAGTAAGAGTGTATACAAAGCAACTCTATATACTTGATTAAAAATTAGTACGTACTAAAGAAAAAGATCGTTAATATAAAGTTTACCTGACTGCTGAGTAGTGGTTGTAGTTGTAGTTGTAGTTGCAGTTGGAATTGTAGCTGCAGTTGTAGTGTTTCTTGCTATTCATTATCATAGAACATTTATGTAAACAAAGCATATAATTTTAGGTCTGATATATAATGCAATATAGAACTTGGTACACTTAAATTTTAGATGAAGCCTAAGCAGTGTTTCAAAGTAAAGTGCTGATCTCAAATGGTCTGAAAAGAGACCGTTGATGGAAAGCCTGTGTTCATCGAAGACCGAAAACCCAATAAAATTTTCGACAATTTCATTCGATGTGATTCGACGGAATCAACTCGAATCGAATCGCATTGAATTGAACAGAATCTACCGAGACCATTCTGCTCCAATTCATCAATTCTGTTGTAGTTTAAATACGAAAAAAGATTTAAATACACTGGCTAATGTTGCAGTAGTATAAGATCCTTATTCGAAGTATGAAGTTTGTGATTTTAGCCTCTCACATGAATTTTCCCATCTGTCAGTGTGTTCATCTCAAAACATTAGAATATTCTGCCTTCATATCAGCAGTATGGGTGAAATAAATTAAAAAGAGTACTCGAAAAAAAATAACAGGGTGATGATAAATTGTTACGAGCTCTCTCTCTCGTCTCTCTCGCTGCCAGTCAGTTTCAATGTTTACATTCTTCTGTTAAAAAAAAAGTCTCAAATGTTGGATACACGCAAGAATAACCTGCAAAATAAGGTAGCCATACCAAGGACAGCACGCCAATATGAATTCCGCGCTTATTGGTAATTTATTCAAGCGGCTGACGTGAGTCAGTGGTACTACAAGCTGTGAAATATAATTTATATACACAGGTGCATTACTGACCATTAGTAGCATATTCAGATCAGTCAATGGCTAAAGCCCTCTTGAACTCTAGTAATTATTGCGTCATATCTAAATGATCAGCCTTCAATTTCGCAAGTTCAGTCATGAGAAACATAACCGAGAGAATTATAAATACGTTTTCTTTCGAGCCAGGTGTCGATCACATTCGTTTTGAAAAAATGCTGTCGAGTGAACTCAATATTCACAAAAATCAATCAAGTGTACAACGAAAACTGTGAATAAAGAGAAATGTAACACAATAGAATTGATGCGCTCTTATCGATATCCTAAGATTTGGAACGTTTGACAGAGTTGAATCGAATCGAATAATCAATTGTTCAATTTGCTTCGGTCTTTGACGTACATTCAAAAGTTCACTACGTCTCCATGCATTACTGGATATAACTGCAGCAAACTCTGTATTTCAAATCGATGAATATAGCCCATGAGAAGAGATAAAATCCTTTCTTCAATAAATTGCAATTCGTTTTGTCTCTGTCATGCTTTATCTATTTTTTTTTCAAAGACTCTTCAACTCTTCTCCCATGTTCCTACACCAACATGAATTGCATATGTAAGAGTATGTGAAGGATGAAGACATAACTTTAAGAAAGATTCGGCTTTCATTTGAATCTATAGATCACTGTTTTTTTCTTACTTGCTATCGGTGGACAAAGTTGCTGATTGAAACTCGGGATCGGATAACAAACAGGAAGATTGTGACATCGAGGATGATGAACACATCTATGGTTAGGTTCATGACAAAGGTTGCTTGATTGTTCACATGTAACTAGTTCAGAACAATCGACGAATTCATCGCTACAAACACCAATATCAATAGCACCTGCTATATGGAAACAGGCACACGCACTATTTGGCGAACATCGAGCATATTGAGGCATTCCATGGCAAAGTTGAGATTTGACTCGAACTAGCGACATAATAAATTAATAGCAGGACATGCAAAACGAAACAAGAATCAAACCTGTAAGACTTTAAAAAAAGATTGTTTAACATTAGATGAATAGACAAAAAAAAGATTTTGTAATTACCTGAATAGAATGAATAGGAAACAACGAAGTATTGTTGAAACCATCGTTTTCGTTGCAATGAGACAGAATAGGAGCGGTATTCATCTTTATATTTAATGAATAGGTAATAGTTTTCATATTTGCTGAAGATGAAGAAGGGCACGATGTGATCTTTCGATAAATAGAAATTCGATATAGCTCCAACGCTTACCAGTAATTAATTTTTCTTCCAAAAATTAATCTTTACAGAAGAAAAAACTGCGATACAATCATTCAATAGATTTGTGCTA